GGGGGGGGCGGAGGTCCCGATCCAGAGCGGGGTCGAGGGGTGACTTGCGCGCGGGGGAGGCGTGACACGAACCCACGGCGGGCGCGTGGGTTGCCCGGTGCGTGCCTGTGGCTTGTTCACCGGTTCTTCACATGGGAGCGGAGCCAGGGCTCGGAGTGCGGCTGGGTGATTTTGGATTCTGGACATGATGGATTTTTCTGCAGCCTGTTAGCGTGATTTGGCATTCCTCAAAAGGCGGTAAGCTGGCCTGCTACTGCCTTTGGGAACTTGCCCACCCATTGCCCAGAGCGGGGTCCCGGACTTGTGCCCCAGAGTCCTGGCTTGATGGTGCCAGTAGCCAGGCCTCATTCATTTAGGACGCAACATGCTGGGAATTGTCTGGGATGGGTTTTTGCAGAGTAAGCAAACAAGATCGGTGAGAATTAGAGTCATGCCCTCAGCAGTGCGTAGTAATGCATGTGGGAGCCACTGGCCGAGCCAGGTAGGGCATTTCAAACACACCCCTATTTTCATCGGAAAGGACAGGAGTGTAACTATATAAGCAGCCCCTAGTAGGGATGCCAAATGAAGCAGTGTGAAATCCAAGACCTTTCTCGAATCCTGTATGTGGTGCCGCCAACACAACACCCCCCAAAAGAAAACCAGGCGTTCCCATTTTCCACTGCCCACCTTTATCTCCATATATGCCTTGTTGTTCCTTCACTGCCTGATTTGCCATTTGGGATCAGGGCTGTTTCTCTGTTCTCTAAGTAAGTGTGCAAGGTGTAATTCACACCAATGGCCTAATATAAAAACAACAAAATAAATTCACTCGAGAAAGCGCCTGTTTGCAGCCTGAAGTCCTACAGCTGGACTGAACTGGACCCAGATGAGATTCCCCTGAAGGTCACATTGACAAAGGCATATTTTAATTGCCCAGAGGTCTGTGGCTTGGCTCACTTGCTTGAGCCACCTGGAACATCCTGCTTAGCAAAGACTTCCATGGCACATGGTGTTGATCTGTGCCAAGTGGGGTGAAAGACCATGTGGGGTGATGCCAGAAGAGGGTGAGACTGTTCTGAGGCAGAGATGAGACAAACATTTGATGCAAGGCCTCAAAACACATGTCTAAATTTCACTTTAAAGCCATTCCAGCAGGAAGTTGTCCAAAACATCTTGACTGAAACAGGCTGGGAAAAGTGACTCTATGAATTGGTAATGGTGTTTCTTGTTCTTCTCAACCCGTTTTTTTTTCCCTTTTGCTTTCTGGCAACAGCCCAGTAGCGCTGGTCCCTGCCTGGTTTCCATCACTCTGTGATGGGCATGAGGACAGAGGGGAAACAGAAAAAACCCAAAAAGCTAAGATTTCCTTCTGTCTTCTCCTTTTCCAGTGCCATAACTGTACCCTTGTTTTCAGGGAAAAAAAGGAAAAAACCTAGCCTGCGGAGCAAAGGTAAGAAGAAATCAGTGGAGGTATCAAATCTGAAAGAACGTTCTGAAAACACGAGGATTCATGTGATTTGGAGACGTTGTTCTGCCTTCAGCACCAGGCGGGATTCTGGAAAAAGTGACAAAATCCAGGAAGAAGGAGCTGGTCCCAGCCAGGAACCTTCTGAAGAACCTCACACTGAGCCCTCCCATAATTAGACCATGGAGGAAGCCTCTGTGAGGAGACAGACAATCTGGACAGAAAAGATCACGTGGGCTATGATAGCATTGTTGCAAACCACCAGCAGTCTTACAGCCAAGGGGAATAAAGTTTAATTATCACAGTTTCTATGGAACTCTCTATTGTGTGCCATCTGAAGTAGTTTTATCATAGTCTGAATGAGAAAGGACTCAACCATCCATGGAAAGTAAGGAATTCTGATTGCTTCGGATGTTCTTGTCATTACTCAGATGGAGGTGGTGTGGCCCAGCAAGGCCAACATAGCCCATCAGCCTATGCATCAGGTAAAACACACCTTTTAAAGATTTGCTGATGGCCACCAGCCGGCTTGGTCAAAATGTCCTACCATGCCATCGATGCTTTTGATGGCAGGACAAACCGTTGAAGCTGCCAATTTGTCCTTTTGGTACTTTGGCGCATTTCAGGATTGTATAATCTGATATTCCCTAAACGGCCAAAAAGAGAGGGCTTTATTCGCTACCACTGAGTATGCTTAGAAGCATGGGCTGAGTAAAGTACATGGAAGTGGGCTTTTAGATTCTGTCCTTTTTATAGTCTCAATAGATTTCCTGATTTGATTTCTAGAGGGGTTTTTTGTGACAGCAAAAACAAATGGTTAATTTATTTGATTTTTATCCTGCCTCATATCCGGTTTGCATGTAATGCTGTTGCCCTGTGCAAGTTTTGTCAGTTAGATGGGTGAGCAATCTCTGGTGTGCTTTCACAATCCAATTCTTTCCTTTTTCCAGCTCCCTCCCTGCATTCAAACTGTTTTTGCAACATTGTGGTACTGGCACGTAGAACAGCTGAGGCTTTTAAAAGCACTGTTGTCTGCTGCCTCTATAGCCCCGCAAAACAACCCCTGCACGATGCACAGTTCTGGGTTTCCACGCAATGGCAACTCATGATTTAAAGAATGCAGAATTAACAACAAACCACAGGTTCTCTTTCTAGGTTGGTTGTGAATAACAAGGCATGCTTGGCTAGTGCAGCTGTGTTTGTGCATTGCAACAGTCCAAACCGTGCGTTAACACAGTGTCCTAACCGGGCAGAAGAAGTGGGCAGTGTCGGAGGAAATTTATGCTAGAATTGTATTAGTTTTTACAGTGCCCGATGTGTATTTTCTCTTTTTTAGAGTGCCTGCTTGAGATTTTTAAAAAGGGGGATGTTGCAAGTACCAGCTGAAGGGCGACAACTTTGCTGCACTCCCCCCAGCCCTTATGGGACAGGTAGCAATGCAACGGGTAAAGCCCCCTGGTTGAATTTTTGCCTCTCAGGTAGACTCCCAGGTAAGCCTGAGCCACGCCCCACTCTTTGTTGCCTAGCCACAACGCGGCGGCCCCCCTCCTTTTTTCCAAGGGCCTAGAACCACTCGAGTGTCTTCGTTGCTAAGCAACAGAGCCACGCCTCCGGCCGGGACGTCCACGAAAGGATGCGTTTTTTGCTCGGAGCTGCGTCGTTTGACCTGGGGGCGGGGCAAGGAAGGGGCGGGGCGGCGAGCCTCCGAAGCGTCGTGCGTCTGACGCGTCGCGCCGAGAGAGTACGTGGCAGTGACGTCAGCGGGCCGCCTTCTCTGTGGCTTGTTTGGACGTTCGGCCCGGGCCGGTTTTCGGAGCTGAGGAGTCAGGCGGCGCCGGGAGCCGTGTTCGGGTCCGCGAGGCCGGTGAGTCCGCGGCTTGGCGCGCCCCGCCCTCCGGGTCCTTCGCGGTGTGCCTTCGTAAGAGGTCCCCCTTGCCCAGTGGCTCCCCCTCCCGCGCCGAAGAGTTCCCCCCTCCCCCCGCGCGTGTGTCTCCCTAAAAGAGCTCCTCCTCTCGCAGCCCCGTCCCCCGTCCCCCACACCCAGCCGGCCTCCCACAAGTTGCTGGGGCTGGGGGTGAGATATATAGGCCAACGCGACAGGATGGGGAGTGAGCAGGTCGGGAAAACCGCCTCCGAGTCTTGCCTCTCCGTCTTTCTCTGCAGTCCACAAGCCCCGGGCTAGTGGCCCAAGCTCTTTCTCCTCTCCCTCTTGGTGTCCTCCCAAAAGGGCCCCCCCCCCCGCACCCCATACACACACGGCAAACAGTTCAGGTGCCTGAGCGCCCTGGGGGAAGGACCGGACGTGAAAGCGGGAGATAAATACAGCATTTTTCACCTTCCTTCTGGTGACTCACCTGAAAAGTTTCCAACTATTTCGTGAGAGTACCCTTTGCCTGCCCCGCTTCCCAGGTGTCTCCCTACAAAAGCGGTCTCTCCTCTGCAGACCATTTTAATGCAAACATCGGCTCCCATCTCTTCCAGCAGCAGGGGCCTCCCTATGCGGGGGAGACCAAGTGTGTGAGAGAGTCCATCTCTCAAGCTCTTTCTTTCATTGGTGCTGAGGAATAGGAAGAAGGCGAGTGGGGCCGGAATGTGGTCTGAGGGCACATGATATGCTGATTTTTCCTAAGCTCAGCAAGTCTGAGTTTGGTTTGTGCCTGGCTGGGAGACAGCCTGAGAACTCCACAAACCCCACACTGAGTTTTGTGTTGGGCATCCATGGCAGAACAATTGTCTGGCTTTCTTTGGATTTAGATTCTTGTGAAGATGATTATTTATATAAAATAATTGATTACGTTATGCAGTCCACAGAACTTAAGACTGTACTTTAAAGTTCAGGGTTTATGGGGGAGATGGCAAAGACTGAAAAGGAATGAAAGGTAATTGCATAGGAAGAACTCAATGTTCGTGTATGTTTCTGTTGGAAATGAGGAGTTGAACGACCAGACCATGGTGCCAACAATTAGCTGGGCTGAGAACCTGGTTTTCTGGATTGTAGCCCAGTCTTGGAGGATCACTAGACATTAAATAGGCAAGACAAGGCTTGGGTCCAGATGGCCAGTCTATGTAGGGTTACCTGTAGGAGCATAAGAGCTTTTTTTGCTGGTTCAGATAAGGAAGGTTGGTTCACCTTCCTCCCAGCAGAGGCTTCAGCAGATGAACTTCCCTTCCTGGGAGCTTTGAAAGTACGGAAAAAAGCATCTGGGCAGCGTTCTAAGGAGAGCCCTGCTCACTTGCACCCAGATCCATCTCGTGTTTTTGCAGCTTGCAACTAGTTGCCTCTAAGAGGGTTGTCAATACAGCAGCCTTCTCCAATCTGCCCCCTGCCTCTGCTGGTTTGGATGACCCTGTTCATAACCACTGTTGGCCATTCTTTCAAGCTGACAGCGTCGTCGTCCCAAAAATCGGGAGGTTCTGGGCTGGAGAAGGCTGAACAAGAGCAGGTCATGTACTGTATCGTTTTGGTTTCGGTTTGACCCTCCAGTATCAGAGCACACGGTGTGCCTATTTAGTTGTATGTTTTTCCCAAAACATCTGGACAGGAGCAGTTCGGGGAAACCCGAAAGAGCACGACCATAACAGCTCTTGTGTTTTGGTTTTGGTTTCATTACACGTCTGGTCCTGGTATCAGAATATGCAGAAACACAGCCTGCAGCTTTCCCTTGCATTGCAAGGGATCCGTCCGGTTTCTTGCGAGGGAGATCTGGGGAACCACCTGTTGGAGGTGGGAGGGGGATCTTTCCCTCCTGCTCCCCCCCCAAAGCACGCACTTTCACTGCATCTTGAGGGAAGGTGCGTCACCCCTCTAGCTCCAAGCAGGAGATGGTGACAGGTGGCTAGTTGGTGCTCAGCAGCAGAGGCTTTTAAGCACTTCTTGATTTATTTTAAGCCTTTCCACCCTGCTTGTCAGCTGCCAACTTTCCAGAGTGGTGTAGGAAAGGACAATGAGGTGGTCGTTAAAGGGGTAGGCTCAACAAGAAGGGTGGTGGTGATCGCTGTCTGCTGTTTCTTCCTCGCCCGTTGGTCCTTTTCACCTGCGTTTCACTGGAAAAGGTTCCAATTCCCAGCCGTTTCCCAGTCCTGCCAGACAAGTGTTCTTTGTAGGTTGCTTGACTGGCTGGGCTGTTGGTTCTGATAGCCTCTGTGAGTGGAAGGGGGGCCAGTCTCTGTGGGAAGTGTGAGCAGGACTGTTTGGGGTAGCAGAAACTGCCACCTGAAATTTGGAGCTGGGAAAGGCCCCTCAGTTGCACTGAATTTCTGGGGCCTTCTAAAACCCCATCCATCTATACAGGGGCCTTATACTCTACCCCCAGAGTTGGGTCTGCATTCCCATGTGCCCTTTAGCTGAGAGTAAGCTCCTCTGGAAACAGTGGGGTTTGCCTCCAAGTAGACAGGCACCGTAGGGCAGGGAACAGGGTGTTGGCAGCCACAAAGTCGGTTTCCAAAGAGAGGCAACGGCCAATGAGTGCCGTTAGGTGCCCTGGCAGCTCACCTTTGCATTCTTCAGACCCGGGAAGCTGACGCAAGCCTCTTCCACACTGTCAGGAAGTTGCTGGGAGGAAGTGCAGAGCCAGGGCCCTGATGCCGTAAGAAGACAGGCAGGCTGCTGGGTGGTACAGCGCATTCACGGTCTACTCCCGTGGTCTTTTCCTCAGCTCCTCGTAGAGCACGTTTGGGGTGCCGATGCTTTCAGGACCCCGGGTACCCCGGCTTTTTATGCTCCCATCCCAGGAAAGAGATGGTGGCGGCTGCTGGGCTCTCAAAGAAAAGCAGAAATGATTTCCTGCGTGCATCCTGCGCAGAGCAAGCACATGCTCATGAGATTGTCCCTGGAGACTCAGTCCATTGCTTTTGATTGTAGTTTATCGGAAGGATTGACTGTACCTACCCAGGTCCTGAGGCCCTCTTCCGGGGTCCTTCTCCATGGAGCCCCTTCCACAGGAAGTGAGGCAGGTGCTACCAGGAAGAGGGCCTTTTTGGTCGTGGCACCCTAGTTGTATAATGAGCTCCCCAAAGAGGTGCGGCTGGCACCTAGTTTGTATTCTGTTTGACACCAGTGGTCTGTTTATTTTCCTAGCGTTTTAACAGTCTAGCTTTTAAACTTAAATATTCCATGTACTCTGTCCCGCTGCTATGCCTCTGTGTCAAAAAACAGCAACAGCAAGTGCTGCTACCGTTTTCTTCTTTTAAATTAGTGTGTGTGTGTGTGTGTTTAACTTTGTTTAATTTTAATTATTGTTAACCATTCAGAGAACCTTGGCTTGGAATACATAAATAACAGTTTTGGCGATGTTTTGAGAGTCTGATCGCTGTGATCATGGGGGAGGAATTCATGTCGTCTCTTTTCTGCTCCCTCCCTTTCAGCAACTGGGTGAAGTGACTTGTTTCGGGCAGTGCCTGGGTGGAGCAGAGAGATGAAGGCAGGGACGGATGTCTAAATGGTGTGTGCTGGACAGCAATGACAGGGCCATCTGAACTCCCATTTTAGTTGGCACAGTGTCATTGGGGACAATAACAGAAACGCTTTCGAGACTGGAATGATCTGAAAGAAGGAAAAGGATTCGTGGGGGGTAAGATGCGGCTGAGCGGGTGGCATCAGCATCACTGGCACTCTTCTCTTCGCTGAAGCACCAGGTTATGAGCCTCCATGAATACGAGGAAACGCCACGGCTCTAGAAACACTGACCAAGGTGTTTACCTGGGACCCTCCCAGACGCAGGTTCTGCCCCCTCTCACCGCCGCCGCCTCTGCAGCCCCTGTTGCGCCTCCTCCGCCCCAGTGGGACACCATGTCGTGTCAAGACCGCACCCAGGAGTTCCTCTCCGCCTGCAAGTCCTTGCAAAGCAGACAGGTGAGTGCTGCTCAGGTGAGCTTGGTGCGCCCCGGGATTTCCTCTTCTGTGCCTCCCTGGACCTGGCCTGAAGGGATTTACAGCTGCTGAAAAGCAAGCCACAGAAACGGGCAGAAAGAGGCCACCGTGCAGCAGGTCCAAGCACTGTTAACTGAGCGGCCAACCGAGTGGTGCTGTTAACTCCACAGGTGCTATTAATGTGCACAGATTTTGAGCAGCCCTATTCCAGGGAAGGGTGAAACAGGACCAGTGGGTAGTGGCAGAGAGAAGGAGTTTAGTCCTTTCCCCCATCAAACAGTTTCCCAGGGTGAGCCCACCTCTTTAAGCTGCCTCAAGAGGAGAATCTCCAGTTGGCTTGGTGGGAGCTTTCCTGTCCTCCTAGCTGGAGGACAGGAACTGAAGGTTGGTTAGAGCTCGGCCTAGTGTAGGAAAACTGGAATTCTGTCAAATCCCTGAAGATATACTGGGCCCGTCCAAAGAGAGTGCCTGTCTTTTTTTCTTTTCTGGTCATGCTTGGTATCAGTTGTCACAGCAAGTGGTGTTTCTCTGTCTTGTCGTCTTCAGAATGGGGTTCAGATGAACAAGCCAGCCTTGAACGCGGTGCGGCAAAGAAGCGAATTCACAGTCATGGCCAAGTGAGTGAACCGGCCCGCTTATTCTCCAGGGACGTCCCGGCACGGTGCGGAAGGGACCTCAGAGGATATGATGCTGGAAGGGGAACCTGTTTTGTTTTTTCCTGACTGCCCTGGGCCCCCCACTGGGCAGGGTTCAGACCTCATTGTGGTGAAGGTGGCAGGTTCCTAGCAAACTGACAGACCGGTGGAGCATGTGAAGAGTGTCGAGGCTTTCTTTGCATGGAAGGAAATGCAGCAGACTGTGGAACAGGGGTGTTGAGCCTCTTTCTGCCCGAGGGCCAAACTTGGTTTGGGAGAAATTCTTGGCACCCTGTTGCAGGCCTGGGTAGGATCGAGGGCAAATGCCACGGGGCCATAAAACCAAAAGTGGATCCAGCTATTCCAGCTAAAAGCTCTTGTTTCCAGGAGCTAATTCTTAGGAGAGACATTCCAGTCTTTGGGGTTTTGGGGGAGCAGGACGGCTCCACGAAAACCAGCAAACTCTTGAAATGGTGCTGGTGGTGATGGCTGATTCTCTCTGGGTTTCAGGCGGATTGGGAAGGACCTCAGCAACACGTTTGCCAAGCTAGAGAAGCTAACGATCCGTGAGTATCCGTGCTTGGAGGATGCCGAAGAAAAGAGGGAAATCTCCTGGAGTCGGGCAGGGGTCAGCGGAGATTCGATTTCCCGGCTTTGCCTTGGCCTCGTTGGCCAGATGTTGGGATGGGGGAATGGGGTTTGTGGTGCACAGAGGGACAACTTGGGTCCAAGTCACCCATCAGCCCTGGCCTGCGGGGCTGGGTGGGGGGTCTTGGGACTCGAAGTCCCACCTGGAAGCAGTCTTGCCGTCTGATATACCGGCGGTCTGCGGATGCTGTGTTTAGGCCAGGGTCGGGCAGGTTTGTAGAAAGAGGCTGGGATTATTTATTTATTTGGAATTCTTATATGCCGCCCCATTCGCATTATGAGCAGAGATGGTGTTGGGGTACTTAGGATGGGCTTAAAGACAGGCTGGGGCCTAAAGATTTTGACTTCCCGCCTCTTCAGTGGCCAAGCGGAAATCTCTCTTTGACGACAAGGCAGTGGAGATCGAAGAACTAACCTACATCATCAAGCAGGTGAGAGCTGGTGGGCAGTACTGGACCCCTCCTGTGAAAGGTGGGGGTACCCAGCTCCCAAGGGGGGGCTTTTTTGTGGTGGCTCCCTGGTTGTGGGATGCCCTGCCCTGGCCCTTTCATTGTGATCTCTCCAACCCCAGGTACAGAACAGGCATTTGAGCCCCTCGGTTTCTGGTGGTTGAATCCATTCTCATATTTTTAAAACTCCAAACTGCTCTTGTTCATTCCTTGGTTGCATAATTCAGTTCTAAACTTTTAAAGGTTTCATACTGCAATTTATCGTGTTACATTTTAGTGTTCTAACCATCACAAATGGCCCAGAGGGTGTTGGCAAGTGGGCGGCATAGAAATGCCATTAATGCCTCCTTGCTTTTCCTTCACCTGCTCTTCTGTTTCCTCCTCGATGTACCAAGAGCAGGTTCAAGGCTGAGCACTGTGCACAGATTGGGCAAGATGGCGGAAGCTCCTGCAGCTGCTCTGGCTCGCTCTCTCTCCCACTGCCTCCATGCTCTCTCAAACAGACAAATTCCGGCTCCAATGCCTCATGCCACCCTCCTCAGGCTATTCATTTCTCCCAACAGGATATCAACAGTTTAAACAAACAAATCGCACAACTGCAGGAGTTTGTCAGGGCCAAAGGCAGCCAGAGTGGAAAACATGTCCAGACTCACTCGAACACGGTGGTGGTCTCACTGCAGGTCAGGCCTGAAAAAGTGGGCTGGGGGCGCAGCCACAGCAAGGGTGTGGGGGGCAAGGCGTGGTGAATTTCCAAGCCAGAGGGGATGGTGAGCTTGGGAAAGCAGCCGTCGAATAAACAAAACCAGGCAAAGGTGCCTAATTTATACAGGCTCCAGCATGCAGTGTTTTCCAAGTGCAGAATTTTGTGATATATCCATTCGGGGCACAAAGTCCACATCTCCCTGTACATACTCCCCAGAGAGGTCCACCTGGCGCCGTCGTTATTTTTCGATGCCAGGCTAAGACCTTTTTATTTAAACAATATTTTAACCATTTTTAACATCATCCATAGGTTTTTACTTTATTGTATGTAAGCCGTCCCAAGGCTCATGCGACTGGGACGGCATACAAAAATTCTAGATAGATAGTCTTTGCACTGGAGACACGGATCCTCTTCCTGCCTGAGGGCCGAATTCCGTTTCGGAGAATTGCCTGGGGAGCCGCATTCCAGCCACTGGCTGGGCAAAAGAGATGAGGCTGAAAGCATCAGCCAGTTTGAGTTTAAAGTTCTTGCTCCAATTAACAAAATATCAGGGGAGAGTGTTTCAGGAGGGAAGAACGAGCCGCATCCAACCTGGGAAGTCACCGGTTGTGGGGGGCATTGCCAAGGGGAGGGATGAGGCCGAACTGGGGGTCCCCAGCCTGGGGTGCCACACCCTTCCTGTATGTGGAACATCCTACTTCTCCCGACACTCAGATATTTATCATGCAAGGGCGGCTTTGGAAGGGCGGGAATGTGGGGGCCTGTCCTCTGTCTTTCGGCTTCCTAACTCCTCCCCTTTCCGTTCCAGTCCAAGCTGGCATCCATGTCCAATGACTTCAAGTCGGTCCTGGAAGTGCGGACAGAAGTAAGTCCCTGAGAAGCCTCTGCTCCAAAATTTTGCCATGGGGAACTTCCGGATGAGCTCGGAAGGCCCTCCTTTTTTACTCCCCCCGGATATCAGTAAGGCAGCTTGGAGCTGCAGCTCGGATCAAAAGGACAACAGGCAGAGACTAGCTGAATTCTGATTTGTCTCACGTTGCTGATTTTACTTGTTTCAAAAAGTGCACTGTACGCTCCTTGGAAATGCAGCGCAGCAGTTTTCATCACTCTTCTGTCCTGCCTTTTCTTCCTCTTGTGAGGAAGACAAGGTGGCTTAGAGGGTTCTCCTCCTCTCCATTTTATCCTTACAACAGCCTTGTGAGGTAGGCCAGGTGGAGAGTCAGGGACTAATCCAAAGTCGTCATGCAGGGACTAAGAGCTGGATTTCCCGAGTCCTGGTCCAACACTTTAATCCCATTGACTTTCAATGCACTGCTATAAACATGCACGACACCTAAACCAAAGTTCATTTGTAACGATAAGCTATGCACGGAACATCATAACAGCAGGCTTCCTAAGGGTGTAAAGGCCAAGACAAAGGAATTCATTTTCAGCACATGCCTAAACTGCAGCAGAGTTGGCCGTGTTTGCCATTTGAGAGATGTGGAGTTTAAAACGCATCAACCCCCCTGCTGAATCAACTTGACTTAAAATTTCCAGGAGAAAAACTTGTAAAGATTGCATTGCCTTATGGCAAGGGTCTGTGTCTTCCAGCTGTTTTAGGCTACATTTCCCATAGTCCCCGACCCTTGCCCATGCTGACTGGGGAGTTGCCACCCAAAACTTCCCAAGGGCACCAGGTCGCCTGCTGCCGCCCTGTTGGCCCAGAATTGCCAATAATGTGAGGAAGCGGCAGTAATCTTCATTTAAAGTCCTTTTGTCCCATTTCCCAGGCAAAGCAGTCTCCCAGAATGGCTTACGACTGCTAGAAGAACAGAGTCTCTCCCCCACAGGCTTATCATCTAAATTTTAAATCCCTTTTGAATTCTGAGAAGACACAGCACACAAGGAAATAGGGCTGGGGAGGGGAGAGGAAGAAAACGAAGCAGGCTTTCAGCAGGGCTGGTGGAAGAGCCTTGCCTCCTCTCTCATTCCTCACGGGCACTGGCAGTTCAACCGGATGTCCCCGTCAGCTCCCTCACTTACTCCTGTGTGTTGCATTGATGGATGGATGGTCTGGGAGGGCAAGGAGAACACCGGGGCCCTCATGGACAACCGCCTGTACCTTCCGTGCGGAGAGGCCTACCTTGCCCATTGAGGCCTGTGGCCTGGGTGCCTGGCCCTGCTCCCTCAAGCTTCCTTCCCCGCTTCCCTTCCGCAGAACCTGAAGCAGCAGAAAAGCCGGCGAGAGCAATTCTCCCGCACCCCAGTGTCTGCCTTGCCTCTGTCTGCCAGCAAACTGGGTGAGTTGGAGCCCAGGGGAGGAACGGGCGGCATCGCGTCCTTCCGCCCTGCCTAGAATGCGAACAGGGCAGGAAGCGGGAGGCAGCCTGTCGTCTCTGACCAGTTGGCTCGACCCTACAGGCGGCTCGGCTATGCTTCAGGATGAGCCCCGGCCCTCGGGAGATGTGGCCATCGACATGGACAGCCGGACCAGCCAGCAGTTGCAGCTCATCAATGAGCAGGTGCCTCAGGGTGGGGTTGGCTGGGGCCGTGGGCACTTCTGCCGGAAACTGGGAGGGGCAGAGCTGGGAGACCAGGCTGGCTTCGCTTCGGGGCTGCGCTTCAGCTCCTCGTCCCCGGGCTGTGGGCTAAGGAAGGGCTGAGCCAGCAGGCCACGTGGCTCCGCCGTGCAGGAGACCCTCCCGGTTCCCCCAACCCATCCGGCCAGTGGGAGCGCCTTAGCTTGCGGGAGGACTCGCCCACTCGTGCCTGGCTGGCTGGCTGGCTCTGCATTGTCGGGACAGGCGCGGCGAAGCCGAGGTGTGGGGGCCGAGTCCAGGCTCCTTGGGGTCCCAGTCAGGTTCTCTGGGGTTCCTCAGATGTCCTGCCCCCTGCCCTGCCCTGCCCTCTCGCCCCCACCTCCCCGGCTGCTGTGCAGGGGGGCCCCCCCCCCCCCATTCAAAAAGGTGGACACCTCTTTCTCGAGGCTTCATTATGGACCACGGTGGGCTCCAAGTTGAAATTTATTCATCACATTTTTATATTCCCCAATAGCTGTCTGTGTGTGTGTGTGTTTTCTTGTTTCCATTTTTGCCCTGCCCTGGTTTCCTTTGGTCCCCCTCCAACCTCCAGAGTTCCCCCCCCCCTACGAACAAGTCAGTTGCCCTTTTCTTTTCACAGGATTCATACATCCAAAGCCGGGCAGACACGATGCAGAACATTGAGTCCACCATAGTGGAACTGGGCTCCATATTCCAGCAACTAGCACACATGGTGAAAGAGCAGGAAGAGACCATCCGGAGGTGGGAGCAGCTGGGGCTTCTGCAGGGGAACTGCAGTAGTCGGGGCCTTGGTTCGACCCACCGGCTCCTCTGCTCTGGTCCTGGGGCAGGGACTTTCTTTCAGCCCCAGAGGCCAGGTTTTCTTGCAGTGAAACTTGCTGGGCTGGGGCACGGGATGTGGGGGGGGGGGAATCCCAAATGCAAAATGGGTGGAGCTGAGACTCATTTATTTATTTCATGTTTATGCTGCCCGGTAGCCAAAGGCTCTTTGGGTCATTTGTTGTTGTTCAGTGGCAAAGTCATGTCCCACTCTGCGACCCCACGGACTACACTCCTCCAGGCCTTCCTGTCCTCCGCCATCCCCTGGAGTCCACCCACCCCACACCCACCTCCCCAGGGACCCCATCCAGCCACCTCACCCTCTGTGGTTCCCTTCTCCTTTTGCCTTCAGTCGTTCCCAGCATCAGGGTCTCCTCCAGCGAGTCCGTCCTTCTCATTAAGTGGCCAAAGTATTTGAGCTTCAGCTTAAGGATCGGTCCTTCTGGAGAACAGTCAGGGTTGATTTTTTTTTTTAGGATTGACTGCTTTGATCTCTTTGCCGTCCAAGGGACTCTCAGGAGTCTTCCCCAGCACCACAATTCCAAAGCACCAATTCTGATATTGATATAGAATAAGACCTTCCTTATGCACGATTGGATAAGGCAGCTGGCCTGGCATGCCTAACCAAAACCATGCCGGGAGGGTAGAAGGAGCCGGGAGCTCCTCCGCTGGGCCTCACCTGTCCTTTCTCCTGCCATCCCCACAGAATCGACGCCAACGTGGAAGATGCCCAGCTCAATGTCGAGGGCGCGCACACGGAGATCCTGAAGTACTTCCAGTCCGTCACCTCCAACCGGTGGCTGATGGTCAAGATCTTCCTCATCCTCATTGTCTTCTTCATCATCTTCGTGGTGTTTCTGGCCTGATGGGGAGCTGCCTCCAGCGCCAGCCCCCTTCTGTCCCCCTCCTCCTTCCTCGGAGCCGCAGCGGGCCCCGGACTGTTCTGCCCTCTTGCAGCTGGCACGGACAGGAGTCCCCCGCCGTGTGCCCGGCGCCTGAGGGACCCGTCCGCCCGCGTGGTGACTTTTGCGGCGGCTCACGGCCTGGAGCGGGGGTGGGCCCCACCCTGACCAGAGTGCAATAGCATTTGGACGATGCTGTGAAGGGCTTTGCCCCAATGCCCCCTCCCCAACTGGGACGCGACCCAGGGCGGGTGTAGCAGGACCAGGATCTCGCATCTCTTTCCCTACTCCCTGTATGGGCCCATCTTCTGGGACTCGAATCTGTTAGCCCCTGCAGTCGTCGTCTGTTTTTAGAAGTATACCAACAGCATCTTGCAGTCTCCCTTTTGCACCATGTTAGGGAAGGAGCTGCATCCCTGGGATTCTGCGGCCGCCCTGCCCTGCCCTGCGCCTTTCGCCACTTCCAGAGGGCTGTGTAGATCCTCTCCCTGCCGCCTCCAGCAACTAATAGCATATTTAAGTCCCTTTCTTGCGACGCTGGGGATCGGCAGCTCCTCCGTTCATGGCAAGCCGGCAGAGCGGCTCTTCGAGTCCGTCCGGCTTCCACATTTTTCTTTTCCCCTTCCCCTAGAAGGAACCCGCTGACTCTCGGCCAGAGTCCCTTCGTGGCCTCGCCATCCTGCCTGGTATGGGAGGGGGCTGAGATGACTGGGCCTTCTGGCGGCCGCTGGGCCCTGAAAACACACTCCGCCTCCTGCGTGCCGCGGACTCGCTCTGCAGGGCAGGCGTTTTGACCTCCGGCTGCCTTGGCCTGCAGCTTGCATGATCCCCATCCTTAGCTAGGGCTGACGGGAGTTGTGGGCCATTGCCAACCCCTCCAGAGCCGCCTCTTGCTCTCAAGCTTTCAAAAGTTCCCTTCCCCACACCATCCCCAAAGAGGAAAAGGTCTTTTTGCTGCCCCTTCGTGCAATACACTCACTAATGGTCCAGCTCTCATCTCCCCCACAATTGCCCTCTTCCTTTTTCTTAATAGCCTGTGCTGAGGCTGTTTCAACCTTCCTGACCTGCTTATGGTGGCTGAGTCATGACTTCTCTTCCTGTCCAGAATCCTCCTCCCCCTCCTCCTCTTCCTCTGGGTAGCGGGATTCTACTTCTCCCGTTGCGATGGCCTTAACATTCCACGATTGGCACCCCTTTCTACTCTGCCAGTGTGTTCCCTTTCCCACGAGATGGAATCTTGGGGCAAGGTGAGGGGTGGGCTGCCCATCATCCAGCCTCCACAGGTGGCGATGTACCTAACCTCCGGTTTGAATGGGTGCAGCACCGGCTCTGGCCTGTGCTTTAAAAGCTATTAAAGGAAAGGAAAAAAAAAAAAACAAGCTTAAGACTCTGACTTTTAGAAAAACGGCTTTTAAATTGTGTTAGCACATTTCGGTGCCACAGAGGACTCCCGGAGTGGCTTAAGTACAATCGATAAAAACAAGTCAGTCCCTGCTCACAGACTTGTGATCTCAAGAGGGACAAGCGTTGAAGGGAAAGGGGTGGGAGGCATCTTACTGGAATGGCCCGGCTGTGTGTTTTATTCCCCTCTGCTGCAGTGGGCTGGACTGGCTGCCTCCCACATCCTGTCCAGGATCAGACCCATTTAACTGAGTTCAATTAAACTTGGTTCTGCATAGCAAAGAGTGGCTTCCTCCAACAGATGGAAAGTCAACCTTTTCAGCTAGATTTTCATCCCATCCTCCAGGCATACAGTGCAATACCCTTTAGAATAGTGGCTTTAGCATGAGGCGCACAGGCCAATCGCCGGGCCTGCTCTACTTCAGGGCACCTTTGCAAATTACCTTTTGGAAACTTGCTTTAAAAAAAAGTTCATCTCTTCGTTTGTGCTGATGCTTTCTTGCCTGCACCTTGGGGGAGGGGGGCATGCACACCATACGCTTAAGTGAACAGGTGCTTTTGCAGAAACTGCATTCTGGGGTTTCATATCCTGTGTGCTGCTGAGGTGCTTACCTGCCTGACTGTGTCATGCCTATTATTGTGCTCAGAACGCAGTGGAAGATGTACACACGTGGCTTTTGAAATGCTGAACGTCATGGTAATGCTATGCATAATCCAGAGTCGTTCTGTGATAGGTCACCAGGTTGCATTAGCTAGGTGAGTTTTTCAGGCATGGTGCCTTTCCAGTGTTTTTTTTTACTACGCAGCCCAGCATTCATGACTATTAGTCCTGTCAGCTGGGAACTGAGGCCCACAACAGCTGAAGGGTACCAAGCTGGGGAAAATGGGGCCTGCTGACGCATAGGTGGAAAATTCTGGTTCTTTTATACCCCTTATTCATCTAGGAGGAATGAAAATTCCAGGAAAATGCAGGATTGTTGTACAGGAAAGGCATTTATTTATAAAAGGGGTGGGTGGGTGGGTGGGTGGGGGGTGTGTGTGTGTGTGTATAGCAGCTTCTATGCTGCCCTATTCGCCAAAGCCATTTGGTATAGCATGCTCACTTAGTTCGTGGCTTATAAGACTTCCTTTCAGCTGCGATTGCTAGAAGAGGGATCTGCCTCCACACAAAACAAAAAAAGGAAATGTGCCAAAAGGTAGTAAAGGAAGGAGAAAGTGGCCCTTCTAACTTGGCTCCGTGTGGATAAAGGTGGGAGGGCGGTCTGTTTTCATGCAAGTCAGTGGAACAAGAGGCTTCTGTATGCAATCCAGCGCTGGGCTTAGTCTGAGATGGAATCGGGAAGGCATCTCATACGAGCAGCTATCGCTGCCATTATTATATTCTCCAGTGGGGCTTGCCTTTCCAATGTCCTACGGCTTCAGTTTTGTCCTTTTTGCTTCCAGGGGAAGCGTTGCCATAATTAAAGGATAAAAGTTAAACGCTTTTTAAATTTTACCCTAGAATTTGGAATACGGGAACCCAAGCAAGTCGCAGACCTTCCCCCACCCCCCGCCGCCCTGCGTTATAAACACTAGATTGCACTGCCGAGCTGTTCGCAGCAATTCTCCAGCCAATCTCACCCCCCCCCTTGCAACGTTGGGATAGCAGCACTGCAGGGCTGTTGTTTGCGACTTTCCTGGCCTCTGCCATATTTGGAGCGCGTTCGCTCGCAAGGAGATTCAAAGCTTACCGGACCTGGGCAGCTCTGCAAAGCAGGGCAAGCGCCCTACCGATCCCTTGCGGATATGTTTAAAAAGTTTCCACCTATTTCATTCTTAGTCGAGCACGTCTTACTTTGATCGTGGAGGAACAAAGAACAGGGCACCGGACGGTTAACGCAACGGAGGCGTCTCCTGCGCGCCCCTCCCCGGGTTCGCCGCCGGCCGCGGAGGGGCGAAGCCGTCCGCGCATGCGCGCCGGCGTCCGCGCGCGCGCGCGCGGGGCGCGCATGCGCGGTGGTCCTTTGGAGGCCGTCGCCTTCCCCCTGCGATCGATGAGCGTCGGCGAGCTGCGCGAAGGGGTCCGGGCGGCGTGAGCGGCTCGGCGCGGCCCTGTCCAGCCGGAGAGGCGCGGCTCGGCGCCAGGCCTCGTCTTCCGCGCGCGGCGCTCCGGGAGACGCGCTTCCTCCCATGGCCGACGGCGGGAAGGGAGGCTACAGCGGTGAGGGGCCGAGCCGGCGCGGGGGCGGCGGGCGGGCGGGCGAGGGGCTCCCCGGAGCGGCCTGGCCCGGCCCGGCCCGGCCCAGCGGCCCCTCTGGGGAGGGCGCCCTCCTGCGGGGGCGATCGGCGCGGGACGGAGCACGTGCGGCGCCGGTGGGAGAGGCTCCGGGGCGGAGGGGGTGGCGGCCGAGGGAAGCGGGGCGACCCCGGGAGGGCGGGAAGCCTCTCCGGGCAGTGGCGGGGCGGGCGTCTCTCTGGCCCGGGGCGCGGGGGCTGGCGAGTCCACGAAGCCGCCGCCGCCGCTTCCAGTGAGGGGGGGGCTCGGCAGGGTGAGCCCGGGGGGGGGGAACGGGGGCTCGGCGGGGGTATTCTTTGGTGCGTTGCAGTTGCTGCCAGTATGAGAGCGATTATGCCTCTGCGCATGCACGCACTTGTACACCTGTCCATCTGGGTGAGGAAAAGGAGGAGAGTCTGGCAAACAAGGCTGGAGAGGCTGAAAAGTGTCTCCTGTCCAGGAGTCCCGAAGAGGAGTGTTGTTGTACATAATGTTGAGCTGAGTGAACAAGGGAATATGGAGGGCATGGTTTGCGTACCTGCCTGATGAGGTGTCTCTTGGAGGAATCAGAGGAGAAGTAGTGGAGCTGGGGGAAGAAGCTGGTGACTTGTGAACTTGGTGGCAGAGGACAAATATCACCTGTAGGAGGCGGGAAGCAGAGAAGCAGCCTGGCTCTGGGACATTCTGAGTTACAAGGAATTCTAAAAGAAAGCCATGAAGATACCTAGTTGAACGTTTCAGGTAGAAGAGACAGGCGAGAGTGTTGATGGAAGGGGTCAGTTCTAGTTTGTCTGGGGGACTTGACACCTCGAGCCGGTTGTCTGAATGCTTTGCCTGGGCAGCCTTCACGTAAACTGTGAGGAAATGCCTTTGGGCAGCCTGCTGATACTCCGATTTGTGACCCTTGCCCAGAACATGATGATCGTGTGGGTGGAGGTGGCGGCGGCAACAGGGGCTTCCCTGGTCGGAGGAGAAAAGGCCGGGGGCCCTTCCGAGGAAAGATGTACAGCGAGATGAACCATCACCAGCGGAGTTGGACCAATGCAGGCCCCAGTCCTTGCAGCTGCCCGGAGGAGGAGGATGGAGATGTTCTAATGAGCGATCCTCATGATGCACTTCGATCCCGCTAGTGAGTGAAAATGTTCTGTTGGGTGGGCACCTGTGCAAGCAAAATCACAATTTCTCAGGCTGTAAGTAGCAACAAACATAGGCTAGAGAGCTTACAAACCGAGTTTCATCATGAGCAGGATTCCATTTTGCATTCGCGGCCATTGTTCTCAAGTAGTGCCTATGATGCTTTTGAATTCCCTGTCAGTTTTTAGGGATGCTTGAAGAATTTGAGGATTGGTTTTTGAACCAGAATCAGGTGTGGCCCAGTTGAGAATCCATATTTCTATGCAGATTCTGTGGAGTGAACTGAGTGCTGTATTTGTCCTTTTCAGGGACATTGTAGAGAGAAAAGAAACAATTTTTTGAAGGTTTTGACAGAAAAAGCATTTCTGTTTGTGAGTTTTCGTGAGACATTTTGGGTAGCTTAGAGAGCTAGTGTGGTGTAGTGGATAAGACTGCAGGATGCTGGTTCTATTCCTGGTAAACCATGGAGCTCACTGAGTAACTTGGGCCAGTCACAGACTCTCAACTGAACCTGCGTCACAGGGTTGTTGTGCGGATAAATGTTGAGAGGAGGAGAATTTCGTGAGCTGCCTTGAGTTCTTGGGAAAGAAAAAAAGGTGGGATGTAATACTAATAATTCACGTAGATCAATTCAAAGGTAAAGAAGGGATTAGATCAAGGGGTAGGTTTTTACGAAGGCCGGGAAGCTATCTGTGACCTGCTGCTGTTTCTTGCTCTGGCTTGCAGGCCCTCCCATGGATGAGTGAGAAGAAGGTTTTAAGGAGGGGCTCCAGAAGGGAATTAGACTTTCTTGTTTAACTAGGTTCAGGTTCTTAGCTGCAGGGAGGACCTCTGCTTCCATGTGTTATGCACCTGTAAAGGTAGAGCATGAGGTCATATTTTACTAGCATAGCATTTAACTGGCAGAAGAAATTGTGAAGCTGAAAACAGCCAGGAAAATACTAATTGAATGTATGGCTGGTTTGGGAAAGAAGAGTAGCATTCTATATTGCCTAGTTTATTTTGGAAACTCTGAGAGTCTAGTTATCATTGAAATGCCTGTGTAGTTTCCGCAGCACTTTTCTCGGACCAAAGATTTATACTGCACTTTGCCTCACACAGTAACTCTGTGACACAACAATGTATCTTAGCTGCAGGCTTAGCCACAGAGTACAGTTTGGTCCTAGCCTTCAACGCTCTGTCCACCCGGCGTACTGAACGCTAAATTTCTGTTCCTCAGCACTCCTTATGGCTCACGTCCAAACCGACCAGAACGGGATCGGGGTGGTCTAAACAGTCTAAACCTCACTGTAAGACGGAATCTGAATATCGCAGAACGGACCACCCCCAGAAGCAGCGCCCCCAAGAAGTCCTGGTTTAGGGCCACGGTGAGTCAAGTGAGAGGAGCAGAATAGAAGCCGGAGCAGCTTCAGCCACACACGCCCCCATCTTAAATCCCAGAACAGGGATAACAGGAATTTCCCTTGCTTCACACACTTGGTTGTCTTCCCAGTGGAAGGGGAGTGTCAGGGTTGCCAGCTGAATCAACTTTGTCCATACTGTATTTTCTTTCATTGTGGAAGTTACATAGTGACTTGTGTCCTGGATACCTGAAGGAGCGCCTTCTTCCCTATGTGCCTGCCTGTCCCTTGAGATCTGAGTCAGAGGTCCTTCTCCGGTTGTCCTCCTCGTAGGAGATTAGGAGGGTGGTTACCTGGAGAAGGGCCTTTTTGGCGGTGGCGCCCAACTCTGGAATTTGCTCCCCCGTGAAGTTCGCTAGTCTGACAATACTATGTGCCTGGAAGGACAGCACCTGAGTATAGTAGGTGGTGAATCTCACTCCCGTCCTCAGGTAGCTCAAATTGAAAACACTCTGGGGAGATTTTGCCCTATTCAGTGGGCACTGTTAAATAAAGCTGATAAAACAGGCTGTGCTTCAGTTTCAAGGCAGGAAATTCTTCCTGGCTTGTAAACATTTGAAAGCGGTTGACTATCGTCAAATACAGGTATACCAGCGGCCTTCTCAGATTTTCCAGGCTGCTCCCTCCCTCCCTCCCTCCCTGGCTACAGGCATCAAATGTCTGAGTATCCATTCAGTCTGTTTTTGCTGGAGGGAGGGGCAATATGAGGAGGAGGTGGGCTAAAGCCCCCAGAAGACCCCCAGCAAGTTTTTTTTTCTAAACCTTTGTACTTACCTGACTTGAAAGCTGCTTTCTTACTGCTCCAATTTCATATGCTCCTACAATATTTGTGTGTGTGTATGGGGGGGGGGTTCATTTTGTCACCCACCTTCCATGCTGAATCAGAGCACTTGTCCCCTGCAGCCACAAATATGCTTGAGGCCAACCAGGTTAGGCTTCCTTTTGATGCAGAACAAATTCTCCCAGCTACTGATAGGCTGACAGACTCGGGAGTTAGAAATTGCTGCGACTTTGCCTCATGTGCCGACCTTAATAGGAATGTGTGCTTCCTTTCCAGATTCCTTATGGAAGGAAATACGAAAAAGCCTGGCTTATTAGTGCTATTCAGAATTTGTGCACCGTCCCCTTCAACCCAGTGGAGGTAAGGCAGTTCCCCGTGCGGGCCTTCCTCAAAAAAAAAACCTTCAAGCGTTTCAGAGCATTCCCCTTTTCCAAAAATGTATTTTTTCCCCCCTGATGGCTCAAATCCTTTCCCTTCTTTAAAACGCACTCAAGTTTACCCCAAATCGCATTAAACTTATTTATCTATCTATTCCCTTTTCACACTGTAATATCACATGTGAATTTATTGTGAATAACTATATTCCAGACTTCTCTATACCAGACCATTAGTAATCATATTTTATTTTCCAATTCCTAGCTATAATTAGCCTTGCTGTATTTATAAATTTGCCATTAATTCTTTATTATTCCAGCTCCATTGCTTTTATCAAATATTGAAAGCAATGTGATCTCAGGACTTATATCTAGATTAAGAATATTTTACTGCACTTTGTAAAAACCTCTCTTCAATATTTCATTACCCATTTGCATTCCCACCACATATGGAAATACGTACCCACTTCATAACCATTTCACCAACATGAATTTGAGTATTTATTATCTGTACGATTCAGCTTCACTGAAGTTAAGCACCACTTCCGTACAATTTTGGGGAAATTTTCCTTTATTCTTACTGGCATACATTTTAATATTCCCTGCATTCAAATATTTTCCTAGTCTTCACTACTAGTGCTTTTTTCTCAGATCCATTTCCCTTATTGCTTTAAGTGCCTCTTACTGATCCTCTTCTAATACGCATTGTGCTTTCTATCCCTTTCATCCACATATTCTCTTGTTTTCCCTTTCCTATCTTCAAATTTTGTGTCATCCCTGCATCTGCCACCATCCCCTAGTCCAACATTCCGATTCAATCACATCCTCTCAAGTTATGTTCTCCTTTCCCAGTACTGCTTTTCCGTGGCTTTAATCTAAGGGAAGAAACAACCACAAGTGCTTCGTAGACCAGATTCCCTACCCTTTGCGAGGACCACCTTAACATTTTTACAGACCCTCAGGAATGGGCATATTTGATTGACTAAAAACAGAGTCACTCAGCTACTGAAATTGTGTGTGTCTTTCTGCCTTCCCCCTTCCATAATCCAAGCACTGTGCGCTCCGATCCTTAACACATCTTAAACTACACTGGGGGAATGTAGCCAGACTTTCCACCCCAAACATTGCTATTGTCCAGAATATATAATTTCATCCTTTTGCCCTTTGTAATAGGATGGATTGCTGAGGGGTGTTCGCTGGGCTACCCTGAAACGGGAAGGAGGGCATCTGCCTCTTTTTTCTGGGAAGTGATCAAGAATGTGTGTGTATCTTTCTGAACACTGGAACAAAATGTGCCTTCAGTTTCGGTCCAGCAAAAGCAACTGTGTCCCAGTATTAAAAGTTTTGGAAATGTTGTCCTGTTGGTGGGAAAAAACTGTCAGGCATTAAGGAGGGAGTGCGGAAGGATCAGAAAATGTTCGGAGGGAGAAACTTTATTTATTTATTGAAAACATTTCTATCCCATCCTATATGAGAAGAACGTCCCAGGATGGCTTACAAAATTATAACAATGGATAACAACAACAAATAACAAAAATTATAACAATTATTACCAGCAAATAACCACCAGTAAACAACAAAAACATAATATCAGCAAAAAATCAAAATCAAAACAAAAGCCAAGGCAAAAACAAAAAGCGACTATGGATGTTAAAACCACAATTAAAATTTCTAATTCTTAAAATGATGGGTAAATAAAAAGGTTTTCACCTGGCACTGGAAGGAATATAAAGTCGGCCCCAGGTGAACCTCTCCAAACTTAAGCATCTCCAAAACGTCAGATCTTCTGGTCTTTGTAAGCTGTGTCTGGCTATCTTGTGATTTTAGAGCTTTTGCAAAGTACCCTAAATATTTCCATACAGTCTTCAGTAATAATGAAAATTGGCGCTTTTTAAAAAATCAAAAAAGGGGAAGCCAGCTCACAGAACAGTGTTGCTTTTTCTCCTCTCACAGCTTCACTATGCCAACAATCGAGTAATGTTCTATGTGGAGGACTCTGCTACAGCCAACGCCCTAAGGCAGGTGTCCCGCAAGATCGTTGCCCCAGATGGCTACAAGGTTCGTTCCTCTTGCCCGGAAGTGGGGTAACAGGAGAAGCAGGGCTAACCACACCTTGAGGGCATAGGTCCCGAGTGGTGTGGTATGACCTGCTTTTGCCACTTCCTCGCCCAGGTCACCTGGGCTGGTTTAACCTGCAGCCTGCCCACCAACCGCAGCTTGCCCTCCTTTCTTTCAGGTGGTGATACTGCTCAACCCATGCAGCCCGCCCCCAACCGTCCAGCGTGAGCTGAAGCCGGAAGAGATTGAGCAGCTGAAGGTGAGTGGAAAATGCCCGCCCGTCCTTCTGCTTCCAGGTGCTCCTGCCTCTAGGGGAACGTGTCCTCTTCGGTGCAAAGTGAAAATGACAAACCCGTAGGTTTTTCACACAGTACACTCTGTAATGGGGTTCACTGGCCTATGGGAGGTGCAGTAGGGAGAGGAGATGGGAGGAGGGTGCAGAAGAGCACTCTGTGGCAGAGCTCACGCCTTGTGGGCCGTGTTTGGTCCCCGGCCTCTCCAGTTTCAACGTTACTGGGTTAGCAGGACTGGGAAGGGCCCTTCTCAGCTGGAACCTTGCCGAATCGCCGCCAGGCAGAGAAAGTGGTGGGGCAGTGGTCTGGCGTGGCATCAGGTGGCTTCCTGGGCTCGTCTGGGAGGGGGCTGGTCGTCAGCATGGCTGTGGTGACAACAGCTAGGAAGAAGAGGGGCCCCCTGGCTTAGGTAGTCCAAGATTTAGTGGGGAATGACGATTCTGCTTGGCATATATGGGTCTCAAACATCTGCCTGACAGAAAGCTTTGCTCTGCTTTCAGCAATGCATGAGTAAAAGATACGATCCTTCCCAGCAGGGCTTGGACCTGAAAAACATACACACGGATCCTGGTAGGTAACGATACCTGTATCTTTTGTCCTCCTCCTCGCAGGGCTGATGTTCTTCCGTGCACTGAAAAACTAGCCGTAGGTTTGGCTTGATCCTTCATTTAAAGCAAAACAAAAATCCAGTGTTGGCGCAAGCGAACTTTGAGCTCTCCTCGCAGAATGCTAGTTCTGGTCTCCGGTTGAAGGCAAAGAGCTAGTCTGGTGTTGTTTTCTGGGGAGTCCTGCTGGAAGTAACTGAGTAATAAAATAAATATAACTTTTAAACTCCTCAGATCTGGTGGCAACAAACATAGACATGGTGTTGAGCCGCCGAAGCTGCATGCTGGCTGTTCTGCAGATTATCCAGGAGAACATTCCAGAGGTTAGCTGTTTACCACCTTCTCTGTCCCCCCCCCCCCCCCGTTGTCTTGGGGTGCCCAGGCCTGCTGATCCTCTGGAATTCCAGTGCAGGTTGACAAGTGTCCGTTGTGCCTTGGACCGACTATCGACCCTTTCAGGAAATGTTCTGGGATCCCAGAGCAGGAATGGGTGGGATGTCCGTGTTTTATGGCCTCCTGCTCCTGAACCATTCCTGCTGAAATTTCCATCGGTGGCAAATTCCCCGGTGGGATGGGGCATCGCCTCTGTTGAGGAGGGTCACCATTGACCCCGGTCATCACGCACTCCTCTTGTGACCCGTGCAGCGAACTCCTCCAAAGGACAAATCCTAACCGGACATACTGCCCAGCCTGACACAGACCCTGGTGCTGCCCGCTTCCCATTCGCCCTCTCAAAGGCTCACCCACAAATTAGTTCCTGTTTTCCATGCTTCGAAGCATTCTGGGGCTTTCTTAAGGGAAGCATTCCTTTCACTGGGGTGTTAACGGACGAGCATCTGCTGAGGCACCTGGTCTCAACTTCCCTAAAGCAAAACTTTCAAGCAGGTGCTTGCCGTTGAAACAGGGCCCGGGTGACTAATTCCGGACTGTGGCACTGTGGCAACGTTCTTATAACTGACACAATTGTGCGTTTCCACGCTGCCTCCACTTCCCTTGCCTGCTGTCATTTTTCATGATGAATTTAGTTTGTAAGATCCTCTAGGCAAGGACCTGCCTTCTTGTGTACTGTAAAACGTCACATCTGTCAACAATGCTTTATAATGACGCCTCGCTAACCTTCCCAGTCAAAATTCCTTCCTTCCCCTGGTTTTATTCCCTGCTGACTCTTAGCAGTACTCCCGAAATAGGGAACAATCTCAGTCTTCCTCCATCATTAGAATAAGAGTTTTATCAATAATAGATTACATGGTAAAATTTTTACATGGTTGCAATAAAACCACGGATCTACAAGTTAAAACATTTTCCAAACAATCTTTTATCTACATTTGTACTTTACCAGCTTCTCTTCTCTTCTCTTCTCTTCTCTTCTCTTCTCTTCTCTTCTCTTCTCTTCTCTTCTCTTGAGTTAGGCGAATTCCCATTTGCCCTTTTTACTCTGTTCAGTCTGTTTTATGGATTTTAACAGATGTTCTGTTCTCCCATTTTTCTGTGCACAGTCAAGCTTGGGCTGCCGGAGTGGTCTCTCTTGTTTCTGGTTGTGGTTTTTCTGCTACTGAACTGTGGTCTCTAGCTTGACTAGGGGTGAATTTATCTTGGCAGCCCTGGAGACCAGGTGCGAGTTTGTCGTATAGAATGTGGAGGGAATAGGATATAGAAAAATAATAAAAGGAAAGGAGATAAAATTGGAAGTGAACCAAAAATAATAGTCAAGAGGTAGCTGGCAGAGGGTCCAGATATACCGATGCTTCAGGAGGCCAATTAAGAGGTCAGTGTGAGGTTTGCGTTCTTCACAGGATGAGTGTGAGTATGTTCAACAGATTTAATTAAGCAGTGGCCACTGCAAAACACCTCAGAGTTGCATGAAAAGCTACTAGGAGGAAGAAAGTGCCGGACTGTCCCTGTTAGAAAATATAAAAGCCAGCCGCTCTTTGGATCTGTCAGGCACACGCAGGTCTTTTATAAAGTAAAGAAAAACAATAAAGGGTGCGATTAAGAGAGCTGGGCTTTAATTGTAGGTGGTCCATTACATGAAGAGTCAATAAAAGCCAAATTGGGTAGTCATTACTGTAAAGCGGCAGTGATGGGGTGACTTTCATCTTCCTTGGGTCTAAGCTTTGGAGAAGTTACAACCTCGGGCCTGATTTGTGTTTCTGTGTGGTTTGTGCAAGCGCTTTTGTGCCGTGTGTTGTTTTTGGGGCTGTGGCATGTGTGCGAAAGAGCACATCCCCTCATTCCGACCTTGCCCCTGCTTTCTGCCCCACTGCAGCTTCTTTCCCTAAATCTGAGCGACAACAAACTCTATCGGCTGGATGATTTAGCTGAGCTGCCCCAGAAGGCTCCTAACCTGAAAATCCTCAATTTGTCCTCGAACCAGGTAGGTTCAGAGGCTCACCCGTTTAGCCCAATTACTCCTCCGCCTTGTGAGATTCCCACTGACTCGGTTTCCACTGACTTCCCTTCAGCTGAAGACAGAGCGCGAGTTGGACAGGCTGAAAGGCTTGAAGTTGGAGGAGCTCTGGCTAGACAGCAACCCAATGTGTGACAACTTCCGGGACCAGTCCACCTACATCAGGTAAGCGGCAGCGGTGGGACCGTGGGCAGCTGGCTGGAAAGGTGCTTCCCATCCCCGCCTGGCCCGGGTTGCATCCCTCCGGAGGGCAAAAGGGGCAGGAAGAAGATGCGCCCGTGGGACCTTCACCCACCTCGTGGTGCCCGCTTGACTGCTTTGTCCCCACAGAGCTGCCTGCCTGGCTGCGGCAGCATCTCGGGCTCTCCTGGAGCACGTCCAGTATTTCCGAGTCCTGATTTGTGATGTCTGTGACCATGATTTTATTTCAGCTAGCCCGGGACACTGCCCAACCAGTAATCTTCGCTCCTTCCCCCTCCCTATATTAGCATAAGCAACATACGTATTGGTTTAAAGTCCTTTTAGCCTACTCTTCAAGCCAGAAGGGCTCCTGGCGCAGCTTATATGCTATCAGTAAAATAAGACAGTCCCTGCCTGTGGTTTCATGGTCTTAAAAGACACAACACACAGGGAGGAAAGGGATGGGAAGGGAGGAGGAACAGAGTAACTCCTCTTTCGGTAGGGTTGGTGGAATGGACTGGCTTCTCCTCTCCCTCTCCAGTTGGCTTTTTTAAAGCGATCCCCCATCTCCCAGCACCCCGAGCCTTCTCTTCTCGTCTCGTCTCTGCCCTTTCCTTGCCTGTCTTCCTTCCACCCTCCGCCCTGTACACACCACTGGCTTTGGTGGGCGCCCAGGCTTTGGGACCCCGAGCGGCACAGCCTCCTCCATCCTCTCCCGTTCTCCCTTGCACTCCACCGCGCTCGCCTCAGCCGGCCGTGCCGTGCCGTGCCCACCTGTTGCGGCACAGACTTCCTCTCTCTCTCAAGAGCTCCCCAGCGCGGTGCCAGGAAGGGCTCTGCCATGCCGAGGCACATAAGGTGCTTCCGTGAGAACTGAGCCTCGCTTGCCCGGTCGTGGCGTGCGCCGGGGTGTTTGGTCCGTGCAGAAGGCTGGTTAGCCAATGACGGGTAAGATTCCTCGTGGAAGGAACAACCTAAGACAGGCACAGTCACACAGTGGCCAAACAAAGCCCTCCTGGCGGCCTCGGGGGAGGATGGCAGGCACGGCGCAGGAACCACGCTCGCCCTCGACAACAAACCGGACGGCCCCGGCGCTGTTTCCCGGAGGGAGCCTTTTGGTTCTTGGCGAGCAAAGCGCCGTGACAGTGCTGGCTCCGGCCTGGAGCAGCAGCAAAGAAATGACGAAGCGTGATCAAAGAAAAACCCTTTTCTGCCCTGCTTGTCCGCTCGGACGTTTTGCCGGCCTGGGCGAGGCGCCCGTACCTCAGCGGGGTGGGTGCAGGAGGGGAGTCGCTGAGGATAGACGAGGCTGTGCGTGGGAGCGGAGGCTTTTCTGGGCCATTCCTCTTCATTCCCTCCGGTCTTTGGCGCCCCCTGCTTCTCCCCCCCACTGTCTTCCGCAGTCATTAATTAGATTTGGGCCTTGATGCAGGAACCCTCCCAAAGCTGTTTTAAGTTGGGCTGCCAGGATGTTGGCACACGCCTCTCCATGAGCAGTGGGGATTCTTATCCATTCCCCCTACTTCCCCTTCCCTTCCCTGCCCTCTGGCCTCGGGATCCCTCCTCCTATAAGCGAGCCCTGCGGGTGAGTACAAGCTCAGGTAAGTGCAGAGTACGCCCTCCAGCAGCCCGACTGCGGGCACATTGGCATAGCTCGCCTGGGTGCATGTGCGAAACAACCGCAGGAAAGGTGTGAGATGTGCAGAATGCTTTGGACACATTTCCGCTCCCCCGGTCCAAAGCCACAGAGGATGGCGTCTCACACGCTGAAGCTGTCGACTCTCACACTCAGCCTTGTACCTTGCCAAGCATCTGTAATATAATAATGATACAGTAATCCTGAAACAGACCCACTTCTCTTGTGACCAGGGCTGACTGGCACTGTGAGGGAAACTGGCACTTCTCCCTAAGAGAGGCTCAGGTCTGGGGGATCCGTCCGCAAGCAGCACGGCGCTCTTAACATGGTGTGTGTTGCTTCCAAATTAATGCCCCAAAGGCCAAGCCACTGTCCCAACCGGTCCTGGCTTGGCGCACATTCGCTCTGGTGGGTCTCACTTAATACGCTTGTCTGTGCGAGTTTCTTCGGCTTCCAGAGAAGCACCCACTTGGACAGCCATTTTATGGGGCTTTGTTCTAAAGCCGTGGTGAGTCACGCCAAGGTTTTCCGTAGCTTTATGCTGCGCGGTTCCACGTTCCCAAACGGAAGGCCCACGGGAATGGGACGGAGCGCTTGGCGTTGCTCACAGTGGACCGCCGTCTTTTCTGAGATGGCACATGAGAGCGCCCGGTCCTGTAGCGCAGAGGATGAGGTCTGCGTGGCAGAAGGTACGGTGTCCCCCGTGGACATGCAGCACAATGCGGACCCTTCTCTTGAGAGCCGTGGAATGGGCTCTTCGTTGCAAGGCTGTCCATCCCCCCCACCCCGTTTTTAGGACGGGAAAGGCGAGTGTGTTAGGAGACGGGGCAAGGCACCCCGGAGAATGGCGCCTGCGGGGGATGCCGCAGAGATGGGGCCGGCTCGTGTAGGGAGACGGAGGTGGCGACAGCGGAAGAGGGGAGCCGACGAGGCGGGCCACGGGTGGGGGCGGCCTGTGCTGCTGGGATGCAAAGCGCTTTCGCTCACTCCTGTTCCCTTTCTGACAGCGCCATCCGCGAACGGTTCCCGAAGCTGCTGAGGCTGGTGAGTGACTTGGGCCGGCTGTGGGCGGGCAGGCCAGCGTGGTGTAGTGGTTAAGAGCACGCGACTGGGACTCAGGCGATCCGGGTTCGAGTCCCCGCTCAGTCATGGAGCCAACTGGGTGACTTCGGGCCAGTCACAGACTCTCAGCCCAACCTACCTCACAGGGTTGTTGTTGTGGGGATAAGATGGAGGAGGAGAGATGATGTAAGCTGCCTTGAGCCCTTTGTAGGAGAAAGGCAGGCTATAAATTGGGAAAAAAAAAAATTGGTCCTGCTGAGGTGTCCCCCTCCTGTTTCCACAGGACGGTCACGAGCTCCCCCCTCCCATCTCGTTCGATGTCGAAGCGCCCACCACGCTGCCCCCCAGCAAGGTACAGAAGTGCTTGGAAAGGGGAGGGCGGGGGGGGTCCCTCATCCTGAGAGAGCCACAGCAGCAGGCCCGGGTGCCAGGAAGCCGAGGTTCTGGGCTGCCCCTCATTGGCGGGGGCTGGGGAGTGTTCGGAGGGCTGTGCTGTGTGCCACGTGAAGAAGCTGGTCTCCTCTCTCTCTCCCCCTCCCCATTCAGGGCAGCTACTTTTGCTCGGAAGGCTTGAAGGCGCTGATTGTGCAATTCCTGCAGCAGTAAGTACCCCCCCCGCCATCAGCTCATTCGAGAGTCATGAGGAGTGCGCTGTTTTGCTTCTGCTTTGAAGTAGGCCTTTTCCACAGCCGCTATTGAGGAGCCCTGGCTGTGCCCAAGGGGGGAGCTGTGGAAAGATGCTGGGTTCTCAAGTCAGCTCACGGGTGGGGCGGGGCGGGGCGGTGAGCGACATGTGAAATTGCGCCCCGAAATGTGCAGCTGGACTTGAGCAAGAGAGCCCCTTTCCTGTGCCATTCCTTGAGAAGTAACGGCCGAGGGTCCATGTCAGGCCTGCCCATCAAACGCGTGCTCTCTTCCCCACTCCGTTGATCTATATTCCAGTCCAAGGTGGGAACAGAGCTCCTCAGCCACTAGGGGTAGCTTGCTGTTCATCCTGTGCCACTCACCTGCTACCTGCCCCTCACCCCCCAAAAGACACACAGAGGAGGAGGAGCTTGTTCCCGGGTTGGTGGGCTGAAACTGCTCTTTAAGCGAAGCTTCTGTTCCCCCAAGATACTACACCATCTACGACTCCGGGAACCGGCAGGGACTCTTGGATGCCTACCACGATGGCGCCTGCTGCTCTCTGAGCATCCCCTTCTCATTGCACAACCCTTCCAGGTAAGCAGGCACTGCTGGGTTTCCTTCCCCTGCCTTGAGAGAGGCGCAGGCCTTGGCCTGGCATAAGAAACTAGGAAGGGCTGGATCAACCCAGCAGGAGGCAGCGGTGCCAGCCTTCCGTTTTTTCCTAGATCTTCCTGCATCAGCAGGTACCTTTAGGCAGAGCGGGAAGACGTGGCTGCCCTGGGGCCTTTCTGCTTTGCTTTAGAGGCTGCTGAGCATGTCAGCCTGGCCCTGCAGGGATGACATACTGCACTCGCTTTGTGAGAACAAAGGTTTGGGGAAGGGGATTTTTTACAAATTGAGTGTTCAGGCTGCTGTTCTGTCCACAGGAGTAGCTTGGCCGAGTACTTCAAGAACAGCCGGAATGTGAAGAAGCTCAAGGATCCAAGTAAGCCGTGACAGAGGGCTGCAAAAAGGGGTGGGGCGGAGGGCTCCATGCCGGCGATCCCGTGCAGAGGGCAAGCCACATTTGAGCCATCCTTGATACCCCGCATGCAGGATAGGTACCTGCACAATGGACCCTACAGTGCGTCTGTTTCCAAGTATCTCCTCTTCTGCGGAGGCCTTCTGGTTTAGAACTGGGGCCCAGCCTGGCCAAGGGAAGGCTCTGCGATGGTGAAAGGTTTGGGACAGCTCCCAAATGCACAGGAGGGCTTCGTGAGTTGCTCTGCACCCACAGGTGAAGCCAGGAGCAAGCGAGGGTTAGCTGTCCAGCCAGGCATGGCAGGCCCAGAGGAAAAGGCAGGCCCAGGAGTGGGCGAGGTCAGGTGCCGACGTGGCACGGCAGATGCGGTTGCAAAGACGGGGGCAGGAGCTGGCACAGGCCAGGGGCCCTCAAAGCGCGGCAGAGCCGGTGGCCAAGGCAAGGTGGGGTCGCATACCTCAAGGCCGAGCAGAGGCAGGAATAAGGCAGCGTCGAGGCGGAGGCTGGCGCTTGGGCGAAGGAGAGCCCGGGGTCGGTCAGGGATGCCACAGAGCCGCCACAAAGACGTGTGTCGCTGTGGCCAAGCTGAGCGGCACGAGAAAGCCCCCGCAGAGCCTCCCAGGGTGTCCGGCTGCGCCACATTCTGTGCCGCGCTGCAGCCCTTTGCACGCGGCCACAGCTGCGCAGGCGCTGGCAGGGTGGTCCGCGCCGCAGACTTGACCACGGCGCGCCAGCTGTTGGCCTCGTATTTGCAGCGGCGAAGGAAGTGCTGTAAACACAGGGCCTTCCTCTTCGCTGCGGCGCTTCCTCTTTGGCCAGGATTTCAAGGCAGGGGGGCTTTCTGGAGCGGGTGGGCCGGGTTTTGATCTGGGGAAGCAGAGCTAAGGAAATAAACCAGCACTCAGCAGAGAAGCCGCCTAGCTCCACAAATGTTCAGAACCCGCACAATTAGGGGGAAAGTTTTTCTAACCCATGGAGAGGGGAGAGACTGAAAAGGAATGTAAGTCAGTTGACTTGATGCTCGCTGATCGTTCCGAGGGTCTCGTTGAAAAGACCTGAATACCGGCCTGTGTAGACTTCAGAATGAGGCCTTGTTCTTGCAGGCGGCAGATTCCAGTGGCATCGGGGCCATTCCTTTCTTTCTGTGTTTTTCACCTTTAAAGATAAAATCCTCCCCTGAAGAAGAAAACGGAGTTAGAATAGTAAAGTGGTCATACCAAAAGTGAAAACTCATCACGAGGAACAGTAAAGTGTTTGTAAAAAGCCTTGCGGAGCAGGAGTGCGTGCCCATTTTGAGGATGGGAAGAGGGCCTGGTGGAGCTCCACAGAGAGGGAATCCGCACCATCAGGGAGCTCCTTTCCCTGGAACTGGCCTATCTGTTCCTCCCTTCGGAGACAGCCCAATACATGCTTGGACAGAAAACGTCCTGCCACCCTTAGCATTCCCAGGCAGCTTGGGAATGCTGGGAGCTGCAAGACTCTTCCGGTCGAAACATGCCTGGGATCGTCTCATTAATGTCTTAATCCTTGTAAGCTGCTCTGGGATCCATTCTTGGCTGAACCCGCTTCCAGCGCCCGCCGATTTCTCCCCTTGCTGCTACTCTGGATCGTCGCTGATCCTTCTCTCTCTCCTCTGCCCTCAGCCATGCGCTTCCGGCTGCTCAAGCACACGAAGCTGAATGTGGTCGCATTCCTCAGCGAGCTGCCCAAGACCCAGCACGACATAAACTCCTTCGTGGTGGACGTCTGTGCCCAGACGGTGAGCGGGGAGAAGGGTGTCGGTGTGACCGGTCAGCACCATCCATGAGGAAAGCTGGGTGGGTGGCGGAGGGAGATGGCTCTGCTCCCCGTGGGCGACCGGGAGCCCCAATCACTCGCCACCGAAATGGTGGGTCAGAATAGGGACTCGGGAAGGGTGGGAATCCCACCGGACGGCTACCGAGAGAATCTGAGGCCCTTCTTTCCTCTTGTAGAACACCCTGCTGTGCTTCACGCTCAACGGAATCTTCAAAGAAGGTGAGTCGGCGGCTCAAGCCCCCTTCGCCCGCACCCTGCAGCGCGCCACGTGCTGCTCAGGTGCACCCAGTGCCCCTTCCTGAACACGCTGCTCTTTTTCCAACCCTTCCACAGTGGATGGCAAGTGTCGGGACTCGGTGCGAGCCTTTGTCCGGGTGTTCATTGCCGTGCCTGTTGGCCACAATGGGTAAGAGGACGATCTTCCGGGAGTTGGCAGATCCAGGAGGGGAGGGGAGGGGAGGGGAGGTTCACCAGGAGCCGGGGAAGTCCGAGCCTGTCAAAGAACCCCAGGCGTGGAGCTGTCTGCCTGCTGCTCCTCACCATGATCGACGTGGTGCAGTAGGCGCGGGCAGACAGTAGATTGCGCTCCACTAGCAGAGCTTGGGCCCGTTTCTGGGGGCACGTGGGTTGCTCGGCTCCCTGCCACAGCAGCAGGGCGTTGGGCTGGGAGGACCTTTGCTCCTCTGGCGAGACACTCGCCTGAGCAAGACTGCGGCAGCCTTCATTTTAAAAAGTGCCCACTGTGCCATTTCCGGAATTCCCATGGAAAGGGTAGACTAGCAAGAGCAAGCCCGGCTTACACCAGAGAGTCTCCCTGATCCAGGTGGAGGCCAAGGGGAGGGGCGAATCCTCTCCTGTGTGTCCTGGGCACCTTTGTGGAGGAAGATCGGACAGGTTGATGAAAGGACTCGATGCCTTTTGGTGCTCACAGCATCCTTGGCCACCTCCGTCAGTGAGTTCTCCTCTCCCGGCTTTGGTGCCTTGGGAGGCGAAGGCTTGTGTCCAGGTTGCTCCTCATTCCTGGGAAATGCCACAGTGCACATCCAGGGAAAGAAAGCTGAGGGAGCGCTGGGGGAAGTTAACCTCTTGCTTGCCGATCTCCTGCCCCCAATGGAGCTCTTGGAAGGGGAAGTTCCACGCCTCTCTGTTCCTGTCCGGGGGGCTGCCGAGCCGCGTGTGGGCCTCTAGCCCCTGCAGGCCCCGACTCATCCCCCTCTCCCACAGGCTGTGCATCGTGAACGACCAGCTGTTCATCCGCAAGGCCACCAACATGGAAATCCGCAAAGCCTTCGTCATGCCGGCACCCACGCCCTCCTCCAGTCCCGTGCCCACGCTCACAGCGGAGCAGCAGGAAATGCTACAGAACTTCTCGCTGCAGTCAGGCATGAACCTGGAGTGGTCCCAGAAGTGAGTCAGGGCGGATGGGGAGGGGAGGAGCAGGAGCTGGTCCCGGGGGCGGGTGAGGAAAAGGCGCTTGGCAGCTGGGGTTGGGCGCTCTCCCCTCACCTGTCGGGTCTGTCCCCGCCTTCTCCCCAGGTGCCTCTTGGACAACGATTGGAATTACGCCAAGGCAGCCCATGCCTACACCCAGCTCAAGGTGAGTCGTCTTGGGCAGATCCTGGCGGGATTATCCAGGGCCTTGTACAGGAGGAGACGCTGCTGGGATGCTCTGTCAGGTCCCCCCTTGATTCGAGGGTTGTAGGCTTTGCCGCACGCTGGCCTGGCGTTTCCACATCTCCCTGCGGGTGTACAGTTGGCGTCCGATAGTGAAACCGCCAGAACCTGCTCTCAGTCTTGATGTTGCCACAACACAGGGACTGTCACAGGGACTGATTGTGGAAGAACAAGAGGCTTTCCCTCCGTTCTCATGGTCTGATTCGCCATGTCCTTCACGTGAGGTCTGTGGCCTGGTTCACTCATAATGATAAAGCAGAATTGCTGTAACAAGAAGGATTTTGGACCATGTCATCTGATCCTCCACCAGTTCCCTTCTGCTGGCAACTGAATAGATTAGGAAATTTCTAGCACTGGTTTAGCATTGCATCTGTGGGATTTGTCATGAATCCTCCACCAGCTGGATTCGGAAACGGGGGTTATTCTTTGCTTCCAGTTCCTGGTTTGATTAGGGTTGCTTCTGGTGCCAGGGAGACTAATGAAGCCCATTCTTGAAAAGCCAGCATTCATAGTAAATCTAGAATAATTTAGCATAATGGGTTTGCTACAGTGTGAGCTGCTGTCTCCTGCCCTTTGCTTTCTCTCCATCATTAGTTAATTGTGGGCAGCTAATACGTAGAAGACCTGCCTTAGGGCCAGAGGTGGGACCTGTAGTGTTTGCGCCTTTTATTAGCCCTCCTTCTGTGAAGGGTCCTTCATGAATATTGTCGATTTGGGGGCTCGGGCTTCTGCTCAAGGTAATAAGGAAATTTCTCCAACCTTGTGGGCCTTGGAAACAGCTGAGTTAAGTGGAAAGCGTCCCATTTTGAATCTGGATTATTGCAGAGCAGAGTACGAAGAAGAGCGTGTGGGTTAAGTTCTTTCTTCCTTCCTTCAATAGGCCGAGCAGAAGATCCCAGAAGTGGCTTTCATTCACTGAGCATTTTGGCTCCCTCGCCCTGACCAAAACCAACCAAGCTACATTTTATCTTTGGGGGAACTGTTTTGTAAATAAAATTTTGCCATATAAATTAAGAGACTCTCACTTGCTGCGAAGCCTACAGCCGTGCCTTTCACCATCGGGGTGGAGGCAAAGCCCACGGCAGATACTGTGACAGAAGGGCCACCTCCTCCCTGTGGCAGCAGAAGATGTCGGGGCCCTGTTGCTCTGTAGGCTGTTTGTTTTTAGAGGACAAAGTTGACCATGTGGCCGTGTAGAGGCCCCTGAGGAAAGGCTCTTTGTGTTTCTTCACCACAACCCTTCTTATTTGGGAAATCTGACTTTTGGCATCCTCCGGCCTGTGTTTTGTTTCTGTAGCCGCCGTCTCAGGAGTGAAGCTTTGAATATGTGCAAAGTAGAACAAGGTCTTACTACAGACTTTATAACTGAAGTGGGCAGAAGGGACTTCCAACCTTTTAAGCTGGGAAGAGGGGCACTGCCGTCCCCTTTTGGTGCATTCTAGCTTTCTGTTGCCGTGCCAGAGGCATTGTTTCCTAGTTTTAGGTTACCTCAGAGGGTTTTAAGTTTGGAGTACAGGGCCTCGGGTGGCTGGTCTGTAAAACATGGCCCTCGTGGAACAGTCTTTAATCTTCTTCTCAGTTCCTGGGGTAGCTGTTGCTCATCACGGAAGTTCATGAGGCTGGCACGCTCAGCAAGCTGCAGCTTCTGTGTTTCTGTTCCACCTCTAGTTCTTGAAAACACTGTGCTTAGTAAAATTATTATTAAAACCTTGATGTGTCCGCGTGATGGTGTTCTAAACTAGGAAGGGGATCGTTTCCTCTTCCAGTATGGATGTTTGGCTCTGTACTATTTCTGATTTGAAAACTGAAACTGTAATACTTAGCAGGGGATAAACTCTGTAAATAAGTGGGGTTTTTCCCCACTTCCTAATTTACTAGACTTTTGAAAGAAGGGGAGAGGAAGAGTCCTGATGCTCTTGCATCCTGCCAAACCTTCTGTCCTTTCCCTAAGACGCATTTCTCCCCTGTGGGAGATCGCTTTTGCCAGTGCCGGCTCCAAGGTTTTGCAAGACCTTGGGCAAAAGGCTCTCCACAGTTCCTCTATTTCAGCAAGTCTCCATCAACTTACCCTCCTTTTCCTTGAATGCCACCACTTGTTAGACCCAGAGAGTCGGTGAACAACGGATCTTGTGGTGTCCACTGATTTTCACCATCAGTGACTTTGCCAAAGTGAGAGGCTGATGAGTGAGGCTAAGAGCTAATCTACAGGGCTTCGTCATTCCTTCTCAGCAAGTTCCCACCGACGCGTGCTCAGCGCTTCCTGGTTACGCTTTGTTTAAGGTAATTCTATATTCTCTATTGTTGAGAAGCTTGCATGTATTAGTGGCCTTGTTGAAGCTTTCTTTTTAGGACTGATTGGATAGTCAAACACAACGGGTATGAGGTAATCTTGCAATAGCTTTAACAACCGCTTAAATAGCCGCATTAGTGATCCAAGTGTTTAATGCTGTGTTTATTGCTGCGGGTCGGTTCACCACCAAAACCTCTAATCCGCACAGTATTTAAAAATAGATATTAAAATGCACACTGGTGGGAGAGAAAAGTTACAAAAAGAGGAGAGCAGGAAAAGTAGGCCTAGCAGTTGTGGGAAATTACAAACACGATGCCTATATTCTATGAGCCAGGGTGAGATTGTAGGTAGAGTTGCCAGACTGGATTGGTGTGTGAGCATCATAAAGCACTTCGTGGGCAATGCAGTGGCGCTTTTTTCGCAGGAAAGTTTTACTACCCAGGTTGAATTAAGGCAAAAACGGGAATAGGGCAGCTTGGAGAATGGGAACAAATGCAAAAGCTTATATGCAAGACCTAAGTCCAACCTAACTTAGACCATGTGAAGGAGAGTGTCTATAAATCGGATTTGATACAAGTTCTGCTGTTACACCTTCTTTCCAGATAAAATTTGGAGCTCCATCACTCGGAGGCGAATGGCCACGTGGCCGGGGATAGTAGGACTTGTAGTCCAACGCGTTCAGCGGGCACCAGGGCTGCGGGAGGGGAAGCTAGCCCCGCCTCAGTGCTGGCAACTGACGCCTGCCGGAAGCCGAGCCCGCCCTTCGCTAAGATGGCTCCGAAGCCTTGTGGCGGGGAGCCCGTGCGAAAGAGGACTACAGCTCCCGGCGGCCCCTGCGGCGCAGCTCGCCCCGGCCGAGGGTAGCCGAGCATGTTGCGCTGCACGTGGGGCGGCGGGGCGCGGGCCTGGGGCCCTCCGCGAGCGTGGAGCTGGCGGGCACGAAGCGCGCCCCCGGCGGAGGCGCCGCGGCGGGCGGGCGAGCGCGGGGCGCGGGCTCCGTTCCCGCTCGACACCGACGTGCCCCGGGATGTGGTGCTGTTCCAGCATGACCGGCGCCGCTTTTTCCGGCTCCTCGGCCTCTTCTGCGCCTGCCAGTTCTCCTTCTGGGCGTACCTGGCGCACTTCGCCTTCCATTCCTTGCGGGACACCGGGGCGCAGCGGCCGGAGCCGGAGCCGGAGCAAGCGGAGCGTCCCCCGCCTTCTCCCCTGGGAGGAGCGTCGCTAAACTTGGGCTCCAGCAAGTGGCGCTTCGGCTTCACCGCCTGCTGCCTCACCGTGGGTAAGGAAAGGCCGCCTTGCATCCCTGCCTCTCTCCTTCCGGGTTCGTTACTGGTTAGCAAATTATCATTCACAGCGCCAGCGATTTACAGAATTTCTCCAGGAAAAGAAATATCCCCTTCTCCAAGGACCTTGCTCTTATTCCAGGGTAACTGCAGCGTTGCCACAAAGCAGGCAGACTGCGCAGAAACCTGCTGGTCTGCACCTAGGCCTTCATCCTGGTTCCCCTGGCAGCCAGTCACACCTCTAGAGAAAATCAGAAGAAAATTAAAATCTTCTCTGTCCTGATATCTGGTATTCAGAGGTAGACTGCTTTTGTGCGTGGAGGTTTCACAATTGGTGTGGTTGCTCACAGCTGGTAACAGGTCTATCCTTCATGAGTCAGTTAAAAGAAAACCAGTTTAGTAGTAGCCACACATCTTTACATAGTAAACTCGCTAATGGGGGTTTGATGTGGTGAGATGGTGGTATGACAAAATGAGGATAAAATATAAGTGAGAAGAAGGCCACAAATGTTATTTTGAATTTATTTATAGATATTTCTATCTCATCTTTCAAATTCTTCCTAGGTTAGCTTACAGTATACAGCTTTTTCAGATATAAAGCTTAAAACATCTAAAACACATTGTAAAGGGAGCAAAATCTAAGAGCTGCATAAAATAAGGCATTGGATAGACAACAAAGAGATTCAGACACCTGGGAAAATGAAATGATATTTGCTTGGCGCTGAATCAAAGTAAGCCGTGTCTGCAGAACGCCTTAGATTGCCTGAGCTGCACCTCTGTAGAACAATCGCTTCTGTACCACATCTACACTTTCTGCATCTCCAGTCATAATCATCCATTCCCTTTCAGGTTCTCTGATCTTGGTGGCAGGCTTTGTTTTTTCTCGACGCTCCATAGGTCGGGTGTTGCTCCACCGTGGTGCTCAGGAGGTGACCCTGACGACCTATTACCCCTTTGGGTTCACCTCGTCCTTCACAGTACCCCTTCGCCAAATCTCCTGCATGTCTCACCGTTCGATGGTGCCCGCCATGATCCCGCTCAAGGTCAAGGGGAGACGCTTCTATTTCTTGTTGGACAAACAAGGACAGATCACCAACACGAAGCTTTTTGACATCACTGTCGGTGCCTACCGCTCACTGTGAGGCCGAATGCTGCCAGAGAAGAAGCCCTGAGGCCGCCACAGAGCGGAGGCATAAACAAAGAATGCATTAAATCCCAACAGCTGGATTTCTGCCACGGCTAGGAGTGGCTCTTAAATAGCTCCTGAGCTCTTCCACGTCTCGTAAAAACAGTTAATTCATCTTGCAAGTGGGAACTGTGCAACAATGGCTGAGATTGCACAAGACCTTGGTCATATATCCTGCAAGTTGTACTGAATCCTGAATTGCTTTGTGAATTAAAGCACATAGAAAACCAGCAGGGTTTTCTGAATTCTTCGGTCCCTTCAGGTGTACGTCTTTTTCTTGGTAGCGCGCAGAGGAAGACCAAGGGGCCCTCTTGTCTAGTGTTCTGCGCACACGGTGGCCCATGGGAAGTCAACAAGCCGGGCATGAGTGCAACACTACCCTCCTACCCACGTTCCCCAGCAACTGGGGTACTTAGCAGACTGCCTCTGATAGTAGAGGTACCATAGAACCATCAAGGATTAGTAGTTATTATTATTAGAACATTTCTATGCCACCCCTTGCCGAAGCCTCGGGGTGGCTTACAACACAATAAAATACAAAAATAATATAAAATTAAAATTAACAATATAAAATAAATAAAAAATATAAAATATAAAAGGGTTAACCTTCTCCTTCATGAATTTGCTCAACCACCTTCTAAAACTATCCAAATTGGTGGCCATCTCTCCATCTTGGTAGACCTAACTTGGTACTTTGTAAAAAGGCATTGGTCCTGAATCTCCCACCAATCCCCTTCATGGGATGACCCCTTTAGGTTCCCTTTTGGGTTGCCTTTAGGGGAAAAACTCATCTTTATTTTGTCTATACACCATGCCTAATTTTGAATACTTCTATCAAGTTTCCTCTTATTCATCTCTTTTCTTAGCTACATAATTCCACAGGTTGTAGCAGAGAAGCTGCTGCAGCTCCTTGATCATGTAAACTTTCCTTTCCGGCTCTTTTCCCAAAACTCAACACATCCTTTTTAAAGTGCAGTGACCAGAACTATGCACAATACACTGGGTGCAGTTAAGCAATAGATTTTGCTGAGAGTACAATCTTAGCAGTTCTAATTTCAGTTCCTTTCTGAATTATACTTAACATGCCTTTTTTCATGGCATTGGCACTTGAGGTTTGCATTTTCATCAAACCGTCCACCACAACCTCAAGATCTCTTAGTCACTTGCTAGTCCAGATTCCGTCAGTTTATATCTGGAATTAGGGTTTTTTCCTGCAACATGTATCAGTTTATACTTGTTACGTCAGTGCATTTGCCATTTTGATGCCCGTTCTCCCAGTTTGGATCAATCCCTTTCAACTTCCTCACAATCCTTTTGTTTTAAGCACCCCAAATATGCACCCCAAATATGCTCGGGCACATTTTCTGAGAAGGAGGGGAAACACATATTTATGGCCCCTTATCAGCAGGAATTTGAGTTGCTTTGATGGCTGTTTGGTTGATTTTTATGCAAGAATTATCAGCATTTTGGGGTCAGTGGGAACATCTGGAATTTGGGGAGTGGCATGGGCGCTCTCACAAAATGGCTGCTGCAGGAAGGGTTACCTGTTGGCAACATGGTGGGTAGAACTGCTCACAAAATACCCATTTCCAAGAAGTAAGCTGGCGTGACTAAAAGAAAAATAACATGGCCGAGAACAAAGTAGAAGGCAGAGGTGGACTCTGAGCTCAAAAGCAGAATCGCCATGCTGAGAGATAAGTGACTATCAGGAAACTGAGGCAGAGGTGCAATCCAAGCCTCAAATGCCATGTTGTATTTACCCACATGAAGCACAACTAAATAGCTGTTTCACAGAAGGCACATCCATGATGCTTGCAGACACAAATGGCCATACCCCACGCCAAAGAAAAAGACAACAAGCACCATACACAAAACCCAGGTAAAGCACACAAATGCTAAGGCGAAGAATCTCTCTGTGCTCCCTGGACCCCTTTAGCCCTCCAAAACAAATCTTGCACAAACCCCAGGACTCAGTTATAATCCAGTGTGTCTGGGCCATGGCTTCACTGACTCAGCCTTGCCTACCTGGCAGGGTTGTTGTGAAGCTAGTGTGCCATACTGGCTAGTGTCTTGGACTGAAACTTGGGGGAGCCGAGCTCTAGTCCCCAGTTGTAGTCATTGAAGCTGCCTGGGTAACTGGGCCAGTGGCTGACTCTTAGCTTAACCTACCTCACAGGGTTGTTGTGAGGGTAACTTGGGAGGAGAGGAGGATGCTGTAAGACACTTTGGGCTCCTTGCCAGAGGAGAAAAGGCAGGATCGAAATGTTGGGGATTGTTCTTGGGGCTGTTCTTGCAAAGCAAGATAGTGCCGGACACGTTGATTTTGCAGCGTGCCACTCTCCTCGTTAGAAACAGGTTTAATGGCAATTAAATATCTAGGAAGATAACAGTCGGCAGGTGACAAGAGAAACATCTGCAGGTGCATCATTTCGACTGCAGAGCCAAGAAAGAAAGAAAGAAAAGCTTTATTTCCTCGGCTCGTTCTGTCTTGTGCGTTGTGGGTTTCAGGCCCTGCTTTTCACACAGGAGTGAAGCGTGAGCCGTGCTGTTGCCGTGGAAACATCTGCCATTGCTTGGAGGGGAACCAAAATGGCCGCACCATCGTCAGGGGAGCTGGGCAGTGGCGAGACCCCCACCATGGGGCAGGGAATGCGAGACCCCGACAGAGACCTGGAGAGAGGGGGGAGCCAAGGTAAGCCCCTGCCTCACCACCCACCCCCTCGGGAGCCATCGGGCAGCCGAATGTCTCCCCCACCCCAACCCTGCATTTTGCAGCTCCCCCTGCTTTCTTTTTATAGTGATTTCTAAAAAGGGGTGAGATATATTTCTAAAATAATGACGCGATGTATTTTTAAAATAAGCCTGAGATCTATTTCTCTCCTACTCTGCATTCTCCTTTTAACTGCTCCTTAAGAGCAGCCAACACATTTCATAATGGATGACAGACCCGGCATGTGGATATATTCCCCACGCTGGTATGTATCTGTTGGACTACAGACCCCATCATTCCCAGCCAGCATGCTGGCTGGGGTGATAGGAGTTGCAGTCTAAAAATCTCAAGGTTGCCAGGTTGGGGCAGGCTAGCTTATCAAACAATGTTTTTTAAAACCGCATAATACTTTTTCCAGTGCAACAATTCCTTGAATTTTCTTTCCTCACCAAACAAATATAGGAAATACTCCTGATTTTTTAAAAAATAATGTTTTAGTCGACCTTTTTCTCCCAGGAGTGAAGGGACCTCAAGTTGCCTTGCGGATTTAAACCCTTGTTTCACCAGTCATGGGTCCAGTGCTATTGTTACTGCAGATACTCAATTCCAGGGACCAAAACTGGCTCTCCAGGGACCTCCAGATAGTTTATACCGTCTTTTTGTACCCCACTTCCCGAATCACCAATGGTGCAGTGGTTTCTGTTCCCTTCTTTACAGCTGTAATTCACTCCTTCTTTATAGACTTGGTTATTTGGGGTGAGATTTTTTTGGCCTCGTTTCATTTCCACTGCATATTTTAAGTTGCTTCAGGGTTTCAAACAAAGCTTGCTGGGCTAACTGAAGCCTACTGAAATATACATGGATGTATTAATTGTCTGGGGGGGAAAAGCACCCCCCCCCCCGTGAAAAATCTATTGATATTTAAGTTGCTCATTCATTTAGGCTATATAATGTACTTGAAACAGGGAGGTATGTAACGGCCCAGAAGGGTTATTTCTATTCCGTGTGGAGCAGGATGGTTTGCTTGGAATGAGGTTGCCGGCCTCTGTGCTGTTACCTCTGAGTAGGCACAGTGACCTCAATGGAGCTTCTTTTTGGTGACAAACGCATCAGATTTAATTGTATAGCTTCTGCATTTCTCATGCCGTGTGTGTGTGTGTGTGTGTGTGTGTGTGTGTGTGGAAGGTGAGGTTAGACTAGTACACTTCCAAGAAAGGAACATTTTTTAAAAGGGCCAAAGTGATGTATAGAACGCAATCTTAGGCATGTTTAGGACAAGAACGTGAATGTGATACATAGTCATGCAATATCAAATTCATCATTTGAGCTGACAGCTTGGGCGAGTGAAAAAAAATCCGATTAAAAGCTCCACTTTAATGAATGAAGCGACCCACCTTATTAGGTTTAACTTCAGTGAGTGGACTTGTAAATATTTATAGCTGTTATTTATTACTTATTTCACTTCTCTGGGCTGATTACAGCAGTGCGTGTAACAGTTGAGAAGCCAAATGATAAAATTAGTCTCATTGCCTTTAACAGCAGCCAATGCAACATAAATAGGCCATCTGACTTCTTAGGATGGCATTTTTCTCTCCAGTGTTAAGTTGACTGTGTTAAAATATATAGCTCCTCAAATCTCTTGAAGTTTCCACCCCATCCCACATGCCTTGTCATTCTACTAACATTTGAGTCTTGCTAAAGTTGTCTTCCTGATTGGGCAGAGTTTCAAGTCTCTCTCTGAGTTTTTGCTTGCTGGGCTAGGCCGAAGTTTAGGGGTTAACCACCTGGTTTCCATGCAGAAATGCTGGCTTCAATTGCTGTAGCATCCCGGGCTTGAGACACTGTACAGAACAGACCTGATTCAGATAGGCCAGAAGTTCTGACATAGCATAAATAATTCTGTGCCAAGGAATCTGATGTCATGGACACCCGAGATAGGCACAGTGTCCCCAGCGGATGCCACCTGTCCGTCTCCTTCCTTGAAACCCTAGCGTAGCCTGACCTGCTTGTCTGCTGAGGAACCCATGCCCTGTATATCCCTCCCCACCAATTTTCCAACCAAAACAGCTGCTTCACTTTACTGCCATATTATGCAGGGGTGGGAGCTTGTGGCATAGAATTCCAGTAAAATGAGAGTCTCTAACCAATGCTGGTTTTTAAGTCTGAACATGTTGAGCAATCAGTGTGGTACTTCCATAAAACCCCAATTATTTTTGTGTTTCATCTCAATACAGGGTTTCTACTTGTTAGTTTCAAACTGTGGATTTCTTCTCTGTGTCTCTGCCTTCTTCCTTCCTTCCTTCCTTCCTTTCCTATTTTCTCCAATTTCATTTGCTTTACCAATTTAAAGGAATACAAGAGCAGTCAATTAAGACAGAGTCATATTCATCCCATTACCAGTGATGTCACCCATCACAGCTAGTAATGGCCCCAATAATTATTAATATGAAGTAATGATCATGCAACTGCAGAAGAGTTTCAATAATAGAGATAAATGCAACATACTGCAACCAACCCCACAAAATATCTTTTGTTCCTTTCTTTTGAGCTCATTCTCCATGTTATGCCTAAGGATTTATTATTGCCATTATTACCATCTTGGCCAGCAGAACGGGGTACGCAAGACCTCGTGCTTTTCTCTAGGACATCCTGTTTTTTTGTGTGCAGGAATGATGCTGTTAGTTAATAGTGAATCCTGGTCTGACCTTTTCAGGCTGAGGGACACATTCTGTTTCTGAAAAGCATTGCGGCAGGGCATATTCCAAGGGTGGGCAAGGCAAACGGCAAAAATACCAGCCTCTTTCAGCTTAAAGCCCTTCCTACTTAGCATTTCTCAAATGAGAGAAGTAACAATAATAAATAACAAAACTGGGAAATCGCCAAATGACCGGTGATTGGGGTAAAAGGGGCAGGGGTTGGGGCAAGGGGTGTGGCCATCTGGGAAATCCCAGAGGGTGGGATTTGGGATTCTGGTGCTGAGGTCCCCCACCCCTGCTGTAGTGGTACAGGCCAAACACAGGTTGGACCCCCTTCGGAGAGAGAGTGGAGCCTTTGGTTGGGAATCCTAGGTCCATAGAGCCACTGAAATAGGCAGTGCAGAGGACCACTGTTAGTCACGCCGTTATTGTGTTTGTGAGTCTGGAGCCGAAGACAAGCCCAACGCACACACGCAGATGGGATTCGGCTGCCCCACTGCTCCTCAAGTTGGAGCACTTTGCCTCCCAGGCCTGTTTTCCCGTTCTTCACACTTCCCGTGTACTTGTGTCCATGTTTTTTCTACCCCAGCGCTTCAGCAGACAGGGAGAAAGGGATTTTCCCCTCTGTCCTGCCGTGTTGCTCTTGATTCTGGGAACATGCATGTTTTGGCAGGACAGGAGGTTCTCAGATTGCAGCATCATCTGGCACCGTGCCCACCCTGGATGTGAAGCAAGGCCCTCCCCCTGCAGGCGCAGTGTGGGCAGAGCTCCAGTATCAAGGGGGCATGTGGAGATAAATGTATGAAAAGCTGGCATTTAAACCCCGGCTTCCCCGACTGCGTGTTTTAAAAATGGGGCATATACCTTTACACTTAAAGAACAGCTTGTACTTTCCGCACACCACATGCTGTCTTTGCAGTTCTGCAGTAGCAGGGCAAAGTTTAGATTCTGAACACATGAGCTTCTGCATCAACGTTTCTTGTTTTAAGCAAAGCTGAGTGTTGTGGCTCTTATTAATCATGCACATTGAGCTAATTATCCTAGCAATGTTTGCTCAGTTTCCCACATAACTTTGCTTCTTCTTTCCACGTGGAAGGGGAAGAAACAAAAAGGTATTGCTCCCTGACCACTAGAAATCTTATTCAGATGTTTTCCCATACCTGTTCACTTTCAGGCCTGGCTTTGCAGTCTGAAGGACTAGAATCTTGCTATGCTTATTAAAAGAAAAAAAATGCAAGATTTAATTCTGAGGAATCCTGTCGGGTGGACTTGCAGAACCATCAGATGAGGCTGCTGCTGATCCCACGTGAGACTTTTGAACAAATCAGCTGCTGGTGCTTCAGAGCAGCTCAGGCAGTGTGCATTGTTTTTGCCAAAGTAAGTCTCGTTGCAAAACAGAGATGGGATGGCCAAATATCTGACACAGATGGAAGTTCAGGGCCTGTTTACAGCCACAAGCCTTTTCAAACCACTCCAGATCTTCAGCCCATCCACCATCCAGTTCCTTTTGGACCATTGTGCATGGAAAGGCTATTCTCCCTCTTCTGGCCAGGGGTGTTCTTGGCTTGGGTGAGCTCCAAACAACCTCTGGTTCATGCAGATGTTGTCCCCCATCAGAGGCTGAAAAACAGTGGCCAGCTTCCCCCGTTTGGCAAAGGCCCAGCTTTATCCAGATGAACACTAGCGAGCAGCTCCACTTAATTCGACAACAACAGCAGGGAAAAGAATTCTGGGAATCAGAAAGTGCAGAGTGTAAACACACTTGGGGAGAGAGGCATTAAATGTTCTGGAGAACAGGAACACCCGGCGTTCCTGCAGTAGCATTGCAGTCGCTTTTTATCGCCCCTCTCCTCCTCTACTTTTTAAGATAAGACACAGAAATTTAGCAAGTTAGCTTGCTAAATGCTAAACTTCCACATTCTGGGTTGTTGTGTAAAAATACAGCTACATACCATCCCTGCAGGATCCTTAAAAAAAAACAAAACCCCTGGCTAGACTGTTTTCTTTTCCGGTGCTGTGACTTTTCAAGAAGCTCAGTGTCATAAGCAAGATGGACACATTCCAGGAAAATAAGACTTTTAAGTGACAGCTGTCTCCCCACTTTGGCTGGCGTAGTACATAGCATTGTGGCTAATCCAGCCCTAATGGATGCTGGGACCCGAAGTGGCATGCCGACACAATGGCCATTTTGTTGACGGACGGCTGATCCGAGCGCTTCAATGGGATTTCACATCTAGGACTCCGCTTGGCACGCAGCCTGGTCTTTTGTAGAGGCAGCAAGATCTGGCCTGCAGACCTGGCATGAGCCCATTCGGTTGGCAACGTGGGGCGAGGAGCACGTGGACCTGCTGCCTGACTCGGGTACCGCGTGGGCTCCATTTGAGGCTTCCTCCTCCCACCTTTCCGCCCCCAGACCTGGGCAGAAGGCAAGCCTAAACGTGAGTGCTACCAGGCCCAAATTTAGGGCTGGAATTCGTTGGATGAAAATGGGATGCTTGGTGTTCAACAGTCTTGGAAGCAAGGCTGCTTGGTAATGGAGTTTCAAGGGCTTGGGAACAGATTTAAATGTTTTCTTTACAGGCATTTGGAAGGCAATGTCCGACTGTTCCATCACAGAAAGGGTTGCTTGCTCCAAAACGTCCCCCATTAGTGAAGTGAAGGACCAGCCAAGCCACACAATGCTTTGTTGCCTTGTTCACATGGGTGTGCTCCCCTCGTTATCTCCACTCTGTAATCAGACATAAAAAGATTTCCCTGCATGCACTGCACCCTCCACTTGGAGATAAGAACGGAGATGAGAAGAGGTTACCTCTGTCTGCCTCCTTCCAGCCCTTCTCTGTAGTCCCCTGACCAGGAGGAAGAGCTTGGAGAGTGGGCAGGAGGGGGGTGAGGCCCACGGAAGCAGCCTCTCCGGGCAGGCAGGATGGACCCGAGTTTGCCCACTCACACATTAGGGAGTTGCAAGAGAGAAAAAAAGCTGAGCTGCTCTCATTCATCAGCCTTTCTCCCCCCCCCCCCACCCCCATTACAAGTAACAGATCCATGTTTTTCATCTTCATTTTCTTGGGTGAAGGCCAGGTGGGAGTGCTGTCCAAGGTTATGTTCTGCCTGGCCTTCTGATTTCTATCTAGACATGTGCTGAATTCATTATGCTGCTAGTCCACAGGGCTAACAGCAACCAGTAGGGAAAGGGTTTGGGCAGTCATTTTCATACCGCTTGGTCATGCCCTGGGTCAGGTGCCTGGTAAACGCCTTTGGTCAGTACATCTCCTGTTCTACTGGCACGAGGAAGCACCTACTGGACTTAGAAAGTGCAATGCGTGATTTGTTTTTTAGTATATTCTGAATATAGGGAATAAGGGAATCCACTTGCGATGTAATGTTAAAAAAAGATCTAGGCCAGTGGTGGCGAACCTATGGAGCGCGTGCATGCTAGGAAAGGAGTTGTGGTGCCAGGCAATGATGTCACGAGCCATGACTCGTCCGAGCTTTCGCGTGGCCAGTTAGCTGCCAAGGATGGATGGATGGATGGATGGATGGAGATTTGCTTGGACTGGCTGTGAGTTGTTTTTTCTAATCTAAAACCTCACTTTTCAGGTTTTATTGCAGTGTTGGCACTTTGTTATGAATAAGTGGGTTTTGGGTTGCAGTTTGGGCACTCGGTCTCTAAAAGGTTCACCATGACTGCGTTAGGGTTAGAAAAGCGAGGTATCCTGGCATGATTTTGCTGGTTGGAATGTGTTTAGAATGGGCAGAAATGATGAGTTGTGCAGAAAAAGCTACTCAAGGGAGGCTTTTTCAAAATCGCTCTTTTCGATGGAACTTTTGCCGTATTAGGGTTAGGCATGTGCACCAGGGTAGGGTTAGGGTTAGAAAAATGAGGTGTCCTGGCATGATTTTGCTGGTTGGAATGTGTTCAAAAGGGGAAGAAATTATGAGCAGTGCAGAAAGAGCTACTCAAGGAAGGCTTTTTCAAAATCGCCTTACTTTCAGTGGAA